CCTAAAGGGATTTTATCTATCGGTTATATAATTAGTTTGTTTTTCCTTATCGATAAATAGGTCAAAAAATGCTCTCGTTTAAATTGATTTATCAAAAATTGACGTCAAAACGAATTTTGAACTTGAAAAAAAAATTACAAATATTGTTCGTAAAAATTAAAAATAAATGCAACTAAGACGCAAAACCGATGCGGACAAAGTCTCACGATAATTGAATAATTTTTTCACATGTTACGAAATTTTATTCGAGAACCCTTTTTCCATCCCAAACGAGCCGCTTGAGAAAAAAATTAACATATATTTAGAGTTATGAGCATTTTAATATAAACTAGGACTTTTTTTTTTTTTTTGGTAAAAAATCACATGATATACAGGTGCGCCAGAACTTGCGCCTCAGAGAAAAATGCCAGGTAAGATACCAGGAACATGGAAAAAATGTTAAAAAAATTCTATCTACAGTTATGAGAGTTTAAATTTTGCATCCACTATAATGCATTAGTTTATATTATTAAAAAATTGATAAAAGTGTTATGTACCAAAAAACAAGCTTTATTTTCTAACATAAACTTTGTGATACTATTTCTAGTTTAACAAAACAACACAATATAAAAAAGTCCACTTTATGCTGTCCCGAAAATTAACATTCTAATTTAAAAGATTTTTTTTCTTGTTTACTAGGTGTAATTTTGAAGCTAGTTTATCGACTTTTCGAAAACGGTTTTCCATAATAACAGCATATTTTTCAATAAGAGACGGAATTATCTCGAAAAATTTAGACAAAAATACACCGAAAAGTCACTAAATTAAGTGAAAAATAATGAATTTTGTTTCTTTACATCACGTTTTATTGAAAGATTCTGTTAAAACATATTGAAAAATTACCAAATTGGGTTGAAAATTACCTTCTTTATAATTTTTTGGGCGTTTTAGCACGTTTTTCAATTAAAAATTTACTAAACTATTTCGTCACAAATCGCTAAATTTACTTAAAAATTGGTTATTTTTACTTTTTTAGATTGTGCTAAAAATTTTGTTCAAAAATAATACCATTTTCCGTTTTAGCACGTTTTTTATCAGAATCGCAATTGTTTTGAAATTTTTCGTCTAAAATGAGGTAAAAAATGAATAAACTATCACGAAACTAAAATTATTTTTGCTTCTTTGGAGAGTTTAAACATGTTTTTGAGCCGAAAAATCATCTGGTTGCTTTTCCAAACGTTTTAGCAGATTTTTCAATCAAAAGCACAAAACTTCGTCAAAAATAAGTCTAAACATCACATAATTAATTCGAAAAACATGTCATTCTTGCTTTTTTCAAACATTTAGTTGCGATTTTAAGTCTAAAACAAAGTTTTTTCTTTAATTTTTTGCTAAAAAACATACCAAAATTAATACATATACCAGACTAAATAAAAAAACGACATAATTTATGCTTTTTGAGCGTTTTAAACATTTTTCAATAAAGAACGCAATTATTTCGCAAAATTTTGTCAAGAGTATGTCGCAAAGTAATTGAATTAAGTAAAAATGGTGTTATTTGTGCTTTTTTCTAAACATTTATTTATTCTTATTTATTTATTTATCAATATTTATTTATTTAAACATATTTAAACCCCTGTTTATTCACTTAAAAGTCTTTTTCAATAAAAGAATATTGCGAAAAAAATTGTTTTAAAAGAAAATACTAGTTTTCAAAAAAATGTTACATAACCCCTTTATCCACCCACCCCTTCATTTGTTTTGTTGCTAGGGTGTAACTAGGGTAACAAAAAGATCATATCTCTGGCTGCCATGGAAATGTGGGTGAAAGAAAGATGGAAAATTAAGTCGCAAAGAAACCAGTGGCGGGGAGATTTTACACTTTTTACGATTTGGTAATTTTTTGGTAAAAAAAACGACAATTATCGTTGTAATGAAATTATAGCCTGCAAAGGACAAGGAACTTGGGTCAAGACCTGAAAAACGTCGCATTTATTTTAAACCACGTGTATAATTAGAAAAAAGTGGAAACGATGTGGTCACAGCCTTGTAATTACTAAAACGTAGATTGTATTTATCCTTTGTGCTATTGTCCGAAATTTTCATAATTTAATCGACAGATGTAACCTACTTTTGGCTTGACACATGACAGCTTTGAAAATTATTTCATGGCCAACGTAGAAAAAAATTCAAAGTCATTGCAAGTTTTGTGTTTTGTCAATTTAATATTGCACAACATGACGATGTTTACAAGAAAATCGATTTTCCTCCTGGAAATAGCCCCAGCCGTGGGAGAAGAGAAAAGTCAGGTGACATTTGGTGTCACACCAAATTTAAACAACTGTAAAGAGCTTACAACTAGATACATCACCCATGAATTCTATTAATATCAAAGTTTTTTTCGTCTACTTAAAGTTTCTAAAATTATTCCGCCTTTTTTAGTTTGTCTGACCTGAAAACTACTGAATAACCCCTTAGAAATAAAAATTCCGGACCCTGAAATTGTGTATAAATACACGTGTCTACTTTATCGACTTGAAAAAATCGAAAAAATTATTCTACAACAGCTGTGGTACATTTTCATCGGCCTTCATTTCATTTCCCTTTTCTCCATTGTCACGCTTCACTAATTTATACTTCCACGTTTTATTTGTAAATAGAACTGAGATATAAATATTTACCAATGAATTTTTACACTTTCTCACTTTCTTTCTCTTATCATTATTTCCAAGTTTTAATGACAAGTGTGTTATCTCTGCTCCAATTAGAAATTTTATAAACACTTTATTGCGAAAAAAGGAAGCTTTTTTAATCAAGTGGCTTATTTTTTTAGATCACCTTGTAGCAAATCTTTCTCTCAATGTCTCAAAATGTTTAAATTGTTTTATCTTTGGTCTAATTACAACAAATTTATAAATAAATAATGATAAAATTATGTTTTTTGCGTCACTTTTGACATTATTTAAACTGGCAATGAAATTAAATTCAATCACGTGACTTCAAATTGAGTTTTGGAAATCACGTGACTGATATTCTACGCCACTGACCTCTTGTCTATTCATCGTCCAAAAAATTGCTAAATAACCAGTTAATTACTTTTAATAAACACAACGCGTTTCAACCATAAAGTGGTCATCCTCAGGTGAGAATAAGTGTGTAATTTTTATACGTTTGATAACCTAAGATCAAAACTGTCAACTGTCAAATTTCAAAGCTAGTATGATTTTTAAAGAATTATTTAAGTGCTATAACTTAGTTTTTTCAAACGGAAAAACCTGTGTTTCTGACGACAATCAAAAAAACATCAATTTCCTATACTTATCTCTTAAACATTTTGATTACAAAAAAATTTCAGCTCTATTTTCATCAAAAATTTAAAAATATATTGTTTAAATATTAAATATTGTTTCTTTTTATTTCAATAATCTAATAGTCAAAGATGATTTTTTTATTTATTTTGMAAGAAATTATGTTGCAAGAAAATGTATGTTCTTAGAATTGAATTGCAACGCTGCAAAATTATTAAATTTCCTTTAAAAAAAAGTCAAAAAATGCAAGCTTTGTCTAATTTTTTTCTATAGCTTTTGTTATTAATAATAAAACAGTAAAACTTGACAAGTTAGTAAAAAAGTCTGATCTATAGTGCGACATAATTTCCATATAATTTTAATTTACAGGGTGTTCATTATATAATGATGCATAAACTGCTTACAGTTTTTAAAATAATCATGAAAATGAGATTTCAACTCTTTATTTTCATCAAAAAAAAATATATTATTTTATTTTATTTCTATAAAGTAATATATTTCTTTTATGTATGTTAGATTAAAAGAGCTGTTTTAAAAATTTCATTGCGACGTTGCCAATGAATAAATTTTCTTAAAAAAAAAGTCAAAAAATACACGCCTTGACTAAATCATTTTTTTTCTGTGCGCTTTATTATTAAGAATAAAACAGTAAAACTTGGCAAGTTGGTAACAAAAACTTTGACCTATCGTGTGATGTAATTTCAATATACAGAGTGTTCTTTAAGAAGACTAGTTTGATTTTTTGAAAAAAATGATTGAAAAACTGCGATATCTCGTTTTTTCGAATGACTGTATTTCAAAGGCAATTAAAAAAACATCGATTTTTATGAGGATTTTTATCAACAAGTCCTATACCTATTTTTTACAGTTTTTGAAATAATTACGAAAAACGGGTCACAACTCTATTTTGGTCATATTTTTTTTATTTTTACAAGTCTAAGATAATTTTTGTATTTAGTGTTACATAAAAAATTCTGTTTTTAGAATTTGATCGCGACGTTGCCAAATCATTGAATTTTCTTCAAAAAAATAGTCAAAAAATACACCCCTTGATTAATTTGTTTCTATAAACTTTATTATTAATAATCAAAAATCACATGACCTCAAATTGTCTTTTGTTAGTCACGTGACTGGTATTCTACGCCACTGACCTCTTGTCTATTCATCGTTCAAAAAGTTGAATCATAGATAATGACTTGTTGCTAAACAACCAGTTAATTATTTTTTAATATACTTAAACACAGCGGCGTGCGAAATAAAATAATACTTATTTAAACAAAGTTTTATGTTTTACTTGATTTGAAAGCGAAACAATGCCAGTAACTGAGGTCACGAAAATGTTGCTTGTGGAAATCTGATCTGACACACCCTGTACACTATTTATCAGCTTTTGATTAATCACTAATTGCATTACTAAATGTATGAATGCAATTTCAACATATTACATGGAAATTCATTCATAAAAGTCGATAGACTGGATAATAATGTGCTTAATTACACGTGTTGTTTTCATGTTATTGCAAAAAAAAATCGTAAAAATTGTCGTATCAAGAAATTACTGTCTAGGGAAATTCGTGAATAGGTTGGCATAAATTTGGTTAAGTTACTAGTGTCAAAATTTAGGTTGACAGCAAACGTCAACCGTCAAGAACAGGTTAACCAACCCTAAGCAATTAAAAGTCTGTTTTGCAAAAAAATTTATTTGCTGTTGATGAATACATTATGTACAAATGCTAATTACAGGCCAATATCCTCTCAATGTCTTCTAGTGTGCGTTTTTTAGTTTCCGGTACTGCCAACTTGAGGAAAACCATCGAGCAAATCAATAGAATGCAGAAAACCCAGAAGGCGTAATGTGTGCCAACTGAATCGACAAAAACCGGAAACGTCTTTGTAATAATAAAAGTGCAACTCCACGTGAACGCCGACGAGATGGACGCTGCTTGACCCCGGATCACCGCTGGAAGAATCTCCCCCATCATGAGCCATGGAATGGGCCCCCAACCGAACGAAAACCCCAAAACGTAGAAAATAAAACAGGAGAGTGGAAGCCACTCGAATGACCCTAACTCGACTCCTTGTCTCAACAGAAAAAAATACAAACCAAGGATTGCCAACATTGCGGCCATAACGACACTAGAAGTGTACATAAGGACTTTGCGTCCTAACCTATCAACAAAGACAGCTGCGATGAAAGTTGACACAAAATTGACCAATCCGATGATTGCAGTACACAAGGATGCGTTCAAGGACGAACCTGACTCTTGGAAAATCTGAGTTGTGTAGAAAATAACAGCGTTAATCCCACTAAACTGTTGAAAAAACATTAATCCCAAAACAATCCCAAAAACCTTCAAATGGGATTTCGTGTATCTCACTTTTGGTTTATTTTGGTACAACTCTTGTAATTCTTTATTGATTTCGGAGTGATGGAACCATTTGAGGGCCTTTCGGGCACTTTGAACCCTCCGTTTTGACATGTACCAACGTGGTGTCTCAGGTACCACCCATATAACCACCAAAAAAGGAACCGTTAATAAAGCTCCAATCCCTGCCAATTCCCTCCACTCAAACACACTTCCTGTGATGAAACACAACAAAATCCCGAAATTCCCAAATGCTGTGGGGAATAATCCCAGCCGTCCTCTTATTTCCGGTTCCAAAGTCTCGGCTAAGTAAACCGGAAGTGCAAATGACGCAATTCCAACACTCAAACCGTTCAAAATCCGACTTGAGTACATGAACCAACAAGTTTTTGCGAAATAATTGAGGGTCCAAGCTGTTAAAAAAATTACATCTGTGAGGATTAGGGTGCGTTTCCGGCCCAGAAAGTCCAATGAAGGCCCCCCGGAGAGACTCCCGATGATGGCACCCACTGGGAGGAGACTACACACCCAGGATGCCTCACTTTTTGTTATGTTTAAGTCAGGGATCATTGTTGACTCCGCCGGGGAGTAGTAAGCTGAGGAGTAGCCGACTATTATTGATAACCAGGAGACGATTGTGGTGGCCAAAATTTGGGGGAAAATGTGGGATTTTTGGCGCTTCTCCAAAAGGCTCATGTCGGTTTTAAGGCGCATTCTGGTTGGGGGACTTCATCGTCTGAAACAAAAAAAGTTTAAAGTTCCCGGGTAAAGATAGGTGTCGCAGTTTCATTTTTTTTATTCAGATTAAAATGACGTGAAATTTTATTTATTAAATGTCAAAAAAAAGTTTTAAATTTTCTGTTGTAAATAACCCATTTTGGCAACCTTGACTGTCAAATACAAACGTCAAATTTTTATAGTCAATTGTCATTCATTTGTGACGGGTGGTCGGGGCCACTGCCGTCACCTGCAACACACCGGTGTCGCAGATTCCTTTTAAAATATTATTAATAATAAAGTTTATAGAAAAAAATTAGTCAAGGGGTGTATTTTTTTTTTTTTTGAAGAAAATTCAATGATTTGGCAACGTCGCAATCAAATTCTAAACACAGAACTTTTCATGTAAGACTAAATACAAAAATTATCTTAGACTTGTAGAAATAAGAAAAAATATTATTTTTTTGACCAAAATAGAGTTGTAACCCTTTTTCGCAATTATTTCAAAAACTGTAAAAAATAGGTATAGGACTTGTTGATAAAAATCCTCATAAAAACCGAGATTTTTTAATTGTCTTTGAAATAAAGTCATTCGAAAAAACGAGTTATCGCAGTTTTTGAATCTTTTTTTTTTCTAAAAATCAAACTAGTCTTGTTAAAGAACACCTGTATATTGAAATTACATGTAAATTTTGTCACACGTGAAGTCAAAGCTTTTGTTACCAACTTGCCAAGTTTTACTGTTTTATTCTTAATAATAAAGCGTACAGAAAAAAATGATTTAGTCAAGGCGTGTGTTTTTTGTTTTTTTTTTTAAAGAAAATTTATTGATTGGCAACGTCGCAATAAAATTTTTAAAACACCATTTTTATTATAACACTTAATAAAAGAAACATTACTTTATAGAAATAACATAAAATAATATAATTTTTTTTGATGAAAATAAAGAGTTGAAATCCCATTTTCTTGATTATTTCAAAAACTGTAAGCAGTTTATGCGTCATTATATAATGAACACCCTGTAAATGAAAATTATATGGAAATTATGTCGCATGATAGATCAAAGCCTTTTTTACAAACTTGTCAAGTTTTACTGTTTTATTATGAATAACAAAAGCTATAGAAAAAAATTAGACAGCGTGGATTTTTTGACTTTTTTTTAAAGAAAATTTAATAATTTGGCAGCGTTGCAATTAAATTCTAAAAACAGTAGATACATTTTCTTGCAATATAATTTCTTGTAAAATAAATAAAAGAATCATCTTTGACTATCAGATTATTGAAATAAAAAGAAACAATACATATTTTTTTAATTTTTGATGAAATTTTTTTGTAATCCAAAAGCTTTGTGTCAAAAAGTTTAAGAGATAAGAATATGAAATTGACGTTTTTTGATTGTCGTCAGTAAAACAGGGTTTTTCCGTTTGAAAAAACTGAGTTTTTTAATAATTCTTTAAAAATCATACTAGCTTTGAAATTTGACAGTTGACAGTTTTGATCTTAGGTATATTCTTAGGTTATCAAACGTATAAAAATTACACACTTATCACAAAGGATTCAAAATCTGTGATTTTTTTGAATAACCTCTGCAAAATTCTGACAAAGAAATTAACACAAGTCAAAAAACACCTTGTAAATTAAAATTATATGGAAATTATGTTGCACGATAGATCAAAGCCTTTTTTACCAACTTGTCAAGTTTTACTGTTTTATTATTAATAATAATAGCTATAGAAAAAAATTAGACAAAGCCTGGGGGTCTTCATCGTCCGAAACAAAAAAGTTTTAAAGTTCCCGCGTAAATAAGCCATTTTGAATGTCAAACACAAACGTCAAACTTTTATAGTCAATTGTCCTTCACTTGTGACGGGTGGCCGTGGCCATCGCCGCCACCTGCAACACACTTAATAGTTGTATTACCAGTGTCACAGGTTCCTTTTTTTATTCGGCTTTAAAACAGAATTAGGGTCAGTTTGAAACAATGACGTGAAATTTTATTTATTAAATGTAAAAAAAAGTTTTAAATTTTCTGTTGTAAATAATCCATTTTGGCAACCTTGACTGTCAATCACAAACGTCAAATTTTTATAGTAAATTGTCATTCACTTGTGACGGGTGGTTTTTGGAATTGCCGTCACCTGCAACACCGGAGTTACAATCCTTTAATTTTATTTTTGAAATAGAATTAGGGTCATTTCCGGTTAAACTGAATGCAATAAAAAACCTTTTAGTTCAGATTTCAGTGCGAATTTTATCAATGACAAATGATAAACAGGTAGTATTGAATGAAATGAATTTTTCTGCAATCTTGAAAAGTTTTTGAATGACAAACAAGAAAAACGCATCAGTTATCATCAGTGAAAAGAAAGTCTAATTAGAGCTCTCGAGTTAAACGGTTCTTTGAGTCTGGAAGCATAAAAATAACGTCAAGTTGGGCTATGCTATTCGACACCGTGGGTGTTAATTGAGTGAGGTATTATTGTGTTACATTTCAAGCAACTATATATAGAGTGGTTCCAATTTATACAGTCCTGACTGAATTAGAGTACAAAATAAACATATTTTAGTTCGAATTAAAGTGGTTTGGAGGGTCTAACAAGAAGAAAAATCACAAAAAACTGATTAAGTCTACATACCCATAGTACATTTTGGGGAGAACAATAACGAAGTGCAAGTTTATAGTAAATTTTTCCTTATATCAATATTTTTTTACGATTCATTGTTAAAAAATAAGAGGCAAAGTCGTTGTTTTCGGTCGTTAGTCTGACTAATATTACAATTTTATATTTATGACGAAAATCTATAAAATTTAGTGATATAATGAGCTTTCAGAAATAAAAAAAATAGTCGCATTTTTCTTGAAAACGCCTTTTGGTGTCTCAGATTAGAAAAAATCAACAAAATTGCAAAGAAACGAAAACTTTATTAGCTGTTTTTTAATGCATTTTTGATAATGACTCGAGTCCCAAATACCATTCTGTTCTATAATTATCGAATTATTTATCATTACTGTTCTCCGATTTCAATTGTGACAAATGTGGACCAAATTCTTGCAGTGTCTAACAATTCTAGAAATTTAGTTTATCGACCGAGAAAGTGTCAGAACACGAGCCTTCTCGATTTATTAGCAATATGTCAAAGGTGTGGTAGACTTAGTTGGCGATGAAATTAAGGGCATTTTTGTATTCTACTGTTTGCAACACTGACAAGCTGTCAACCAAAAATTTTTTTTCAGTGATTAAAAATCGAAAGTGTGCTAGAAGATCGCAATCAATCGTGAACCTTTCATATGTAGTGGAGCCCCACTGAGAATGGCAACAGGTTTGCACCCGGATGTCGAGTCGTGAGTAGAAATTCGGCCAAAATGGGTCATTTAGTGAAACTAATTCCCTGAAGATAGACGTTTTTAATTGCAGAAACGTCGCTTCATTATTGATAACAATCAACTTGACATTATCGCATATAATGAGAAAGAAAGTTGCCACAAGTGGGTGTTGACAAGTTTTCTGATCCATTTTTTATTACCTGATTAGTAATCGAGGCAAAAAACGCCGTTATGTGGAATCGAAAACAACATCAAATAGCCGTTAAAAATGCGTTTTTGAAGTGACCAACGACCAATACATCAAGTGTGTTGTGTCATTTTTTTGAATGAGAAAATTATTCAAAGCGTTTTTCAATGAGTTATTTACATTTTTCCAGTCAAGGGACGACGATAACAGAGGGGTGGGAATACTTGAACTGCATTGTAATAAGTGTTGAGCTTATTTCCCCTCGTTTTCCCTCGATATTAAACATCCCCCAAAAGAAATTTTCGACTTTGGTGTGATGATCATACAAATCAAAGACTTTTCGAACAAAAATTTATTTCAAACATGTCGATCGATTCGTATTTTTGATCAAAAAAATGCATTGAACAAATAACAAACACTATTTTATCAACATCTACGCCACTGAGCTACAAATCGTTCATTTTTGTGTCGTTTCTTAGCAACCAGAATAAATCACAATGGATAATGTGACTCGTTACTAAGCAACCAGTGTTATTTTTGATCACATTTATAAGGCAGTGGCGCACTATAATTTGGAATCTATTTAACATTCATTTCTTTAATTAAAATTTTATTAAAAAATTGCGGTAAGAAAAAAAAATAAGAGAAAAACACTATTTTACCTACAAGTTTAACAATTTTTTTTTTAAATAACTGAATTTGAACGTCATCTACGTCGATGATTTTTAAAACGTTCAATCTCAATTTAATAAATATAGTAAAACAATTCAAACTGAAACATCACACAAATTAAATAAATAGTTCAATTAAGATTTTAATTTTTTTCTCTTATAATTTATTTAAAATTTGATTAAACAATTGTGTTAACAAGTTTAACAAACTTTTTTTAATTAAGTAAATATCTAAACGTCCTCTACGCCACTGGCCTTTTCTTAAATTATCTCTTACCTTTTAGAATAAATGGATAATGACTCGTTACTAAGCAACCAGTATTAATTTTGATCACATTTTTTTTTATAATTAGTGGCGCACTATACATTTTTACCACGTTTTTTTAAATTTTTGTAGTTTATTTAACATTCTTATTTTGTTTCTTTCATTATTGTTTATTTAAATTTTTATTAAAAAATTGCGTTAAGAAAAAATAAGAAAAATACTATTTTATCAACAAGTTTAACAAACTTTTTGTAAAATAACTGAATTTGAACGTCATCTACGCCATTGACTTTCAATCTCAACTTAATAAAAATAATAAAACAATTTTAATAAAATAAATTGAATCATCACACAAAATAAATAAATAGTTCAATTAACATTTGAATTTTTTTCTCTTATCATTTATTTAAAATTTAATTCAAAAATTGTGTTACAAAAAAGTAGGGAAAACACTATTTTAAGAACAAGTTTAACAAACTTTTTTTTAATTAACTGAATCTCTAAACGTCCTCTACGTCACTGGCTTTTTCTTAAATTATTTCTTACCTTCCAGAATAAATGGACAATGACTAGTTACTAAGCAACCAGTATTAATTTTAATTACATTTATTTATAAATCAGTGGCGCACTATAAACTTTTACCATGTTTTTTTAATTTTTGTTGTTTATTTAACATTCTTATTTTCTTTTTTTGCTTATTATTTATTATTAGCAAAAAATAAGAGAAAAACACTGTTTTATCAACAAGTTTAACAAACTTTTTCTAAAATAACTGAATTTGAACGTCATCTACGCCACTGACTTTCAAAACGTTCAATCTCAACTTAATAAAAATAGTAAAACAATTCAAATTTAAACATCACACAAAATAAATAAATAGTTATTAGTTGAACTATTTATTTATTTTGTGATTTTAATTTTTTTTTCGTTTATTTAAAATTTTATTAAAAAATTGCGTTACAAAAAAAAATAGGAAAAACACTATTTTAACAACTTTTTTTTAATTAACTGAATCTCTAAACATCCTCTACGCCACTGGCTTTTTCCTAATTGTCCCTTACCTTCCAGAATAAATGGACAATGATTCGTTACTAAGCAACCAGTATTAATTTTGATCACATTTATTTATAAATCAGGGGCGCACTATAAATTTTTACCATGTTTTTTTTAATTTTTATAGTTCATTTTACATTCTTATTTTCTTTTTTTATTGTCATTTTTATTTAAAAAATGCGTTAAAAAAAATAAACTTTTTTAAAAATAAGTGAATGTGAACATCATCTACGCCACTGACTTTCAAAACGCTACGTTAAGTTTTTTTTAGCATCCAGAATAACTCCCAATGGATAATGACTCGTTACTAAGCAACCAGTGTCACTTTTGATTATTTTTTAAGTCAGTGGCGTACTATAAATTTTCCCCGAACTCAAATTCAAAAAAATATTATTACTACTACTTCATAAACATTTAACACTATCATTTATTTAATATTTGATTAAAAAATTATGTTACTAAAAAATATGGAAAACATTAACAAACTTTTTTTTAATTAACTCAATCTCGAAACGTCCTCTACGTCACTGACTTTTTCAATTTTAAATTGTCTTAATGACTCGTTTCTAAGCAACCGGAATTAATTTTGATCACATTTATAAATCAGTGGCGTACTGTAAATTTTAACTAATTTTTTWAAATGATTTTTAACTATTCAATATTTAATTTTTTAACCAAGAAAAAAAATAGACGCGCTAAAAATAGACCTGTGTTATTTTTATTGGGAACACATCAAACAAGACTTTAATCACCCAAAGTTTACGTCCTTTTATTACTCTTGGGGGGAAAATCCAATAAAATTTAGTTAATTTTTGCGAAAAACTGGTCGCAATAATCACCCACGTGTTGCACAAATCACTCAAACTACTAAATAAATTTATTGATCAATACTGGTGGTGGTTATAAATAATTACATTAATGAGTTATCTTTTTAGATGAATGAATTATTGACATTTATGAATGAATCTACTAACAAACAGTCTACTACACCAATAACATACCCTCTTGGTTAAATACCCAAACATGACCTGAACAATGCTTTTCCAGTTCGACTCTGGAAAGGAAAACGTCATGGCAGTGCGCAAGCCTCATTTCCAGATTCTGGAAAAGTCCAACAATAAATCTGATCGCAATTTTCCAAACAATGGACTGTAAATTTGATGAGACATAAAGTGAGAAACTTATTATAATTAACGGCAAAAAAGGAAATAACCTAGAACTCAAGGATTGGTGATGAAAGCGAGAGTTTCAGGAGGAAAAATCAATGTGCAAACATTCCGCTTTTGTCGCGAAAAATTACCAACAATGGATTTTTAATTCTGTTAATTCACACTTGTTTTTATTGAGCGGAATTTTTTGTACCGAAAAAAAATTTATTTGAACAAAATGTTGGCTTTGGAAAAAAAACACCATTTTAAAAACAAGTTTTTTATTAATTAACTGAATCGATGAATTTCATCTACGCCACTGACTTCAATTCAATCATTCAATTTTAGGTTGTTTCTTAGCAACCAGAATGAGTCGCAATGATTCGTTACTAAGCAACTAGTGTCACTTTTGAGTTCTTCAAACTCAAATTAAAAAAAATAGTACCAACTTGGTACCAAATTAACAAAAATAGTAAAAGAATTCAAATTAACACTCAAAAACAACATCACACAAATAACATAAATGATTTTTTTCTATTTTCATTTTTTTTATTATTATTGATTTAAAATTAGATTCAAAATTGCGTTAAAAAAGTGGAAAAAACACTATTTCAACAAAGTTATTTTTTTTATTAACCGAATCTTTGAACGTCATCTACGCCACTGACTTCAATTCAGTCGTTCAATTTTAAGTTTTTTCTTAGCATTAGAATKAATTACAATGGACTATGATTTGTTACTAAGCAACCAGTGTTATTTTGATAATTTTTAAAAGTCAGTGGCGCATTATAAATTTTAATTTAAGTTTTTTTTAAACAATTTTTGTAGAAACATGAAACATTTTTAATTTTTTCTCATTTATTTAAAATTTTTAAGAGTTTAACAAACATTTTTTTTAATTGAATCTCTAAACGTCATCTACGACACTGACTTTCAAATTGCTCAATTTTAAGTTGTTTCTTAGCAACTAGAATAAATTAATGGGCAATGACTTGTTTTTTTATTTGGAAAAATCACTGTGCAAACTATTAATAACAATAGATTTTTTAATTTCTAATAAATGTCTTTTTTAAAAAATTTTGTTTTGGATTGAAACATATGAAAAAAATTATATTCTGCAAGAAGTAATAATCTGTAAAAATAGAACGTAATTGAAACCATAAATTTTTGCTCTAGAAATCTCATATTTGATTTTTTCTACGCCACTGAGTTTGGGTTTTTGAGTTAACGTATCTCTACTAAACAGTATTACTTTTAATCGTTAATCAGTGGCGTGCCATTTTGGCCCCTTTTACTGCACTATAAGTTACGCCACTGGTTGTCTAAATTAATGAAACGCGTTTTTACGGTTCCCTGACCATCGACAGCAACTTGAAACAGATATTAATTAATTTCTATTATTTAAAAAAGTTGGAATCTGTGTAAAAAACGTCCTTGAAAAAATTAAAAGTTTGTTCAATTTATGATTTTTCAAATTAGTTCAAATCCGTTATTTGGTGGAATGTTTAGTAAAATTCCGGTGTACATTGACATTTGTTTTTCGTCCGAAATTGGACCAGTTTTTGTGTCATTTTACGACTCTATAAAAGTTGGATTTTGCATAGAAATCTGGATTAGAGGTGTGTGCGCGTGAATAATGCAATTAGATCAATTCATTTCAAAATTATGAATGTGGAGCGAAAAAATTCCTACAATGTCGCAATCGGTCACAATGTCGCTGCATTTTTCCCTAAAACTGACCCACCTTGAAATATTTGCACACTTTTACTCAAACATTGCATTGCTTATAACAATTTCTTTAATATCGGACACTGCTCCAGGCGCTGCTTTCTAGTGACCTTTGCTAATAGTAATTCACAAAAACTCGCTTTTACGTCATCGAACGACTTTTTTCCCACATTCATGCGAAAAAATCCAAACCCGCCACTGGATTTTCATTCATACAACTTTATGTAACCATAGTTACATGCATATTTCCATGGAAACGAGACAAAACCACAGACATGTGCGACTCGTTGAGGGTGAAACAAGGGTTTCAAATAAAAATTCTTTATTCGATCAATAATCCGTTGAAATTCCTAAAACCGTCAAAGGTGTTTGACTTTTAACAATGAGCGCAAGCAACTTTACTGTTGGTTTCTTTTCTATTGAAAATTTCTTAGAAAAAATCAATAATTGTTTAGTTTGGATTTTTTTTTTTTTTGATATTTACCAGGAAGTGAAAAGTCAACACAATGTAAATGTATTTATGTTACGATTAGATAATAAACGGTTTTATTAAAGTCTTTTTCGCGTGTAAACACACACGCAAGGTTAGTGTTTTGGTGTTGTAATTCAGGAAATTGATAAAATTTGCAAAAACATAACATTACCTACACCAAGAACACAACAATTGATAATTTTCGATTACTCAACCGACTTTCTCGCTTATTATTAATTAGAAATGTAAAAATTTGGTGACAAAAATTTTAATCAAGTCGAATATTTAATTCTATTAGAGAAGACCAGGTTTTGGGGCCACGCCCAAATTAACGTCTCTATTATCTAAACTGATATAAAATTGTGTGTTGCGACTTTCTACCCACGTGTAGGAAAGTTGTAGTGCGTAAAATCGCTTATTTGTTTTGAAAATGGGCTTCCTGATTACAAATTTATCACTTTTGTCAGCATTATTGACTTATTAGACTTTGTCAGGGTTAAATCCTCAAATCTGTTGCGTTTCGCGAAACGATAAGTGACCTCAACTAATTAAAAATGATGTTTTTCAATAATTATTGCTTAATGACACAAAAATGCATTAGATGAGTAGTTCGAATTATTTATTTGTTATCGCTGTAATAAAATTGTTACTAAATAAATGCCTAGGTGACAAATAGGCCACAGCTGACATTTCAAATGACCTTAAATTCCTTAAAACTTGATTGAATTACGACTGAAATGAGGTTTTGATAGGCCGAAAAATGCATTACAATTAGTACAAGTCATTAAAACAGTTATGTCGAATTTAAAAAAGGCGTGGTGGGTCACAAATTGATTTTTTAAGGTGAAAGTCAAGACAAAAGCTTGCCTCATTCTTATGCAATTATGAAACAGGATAATTTTTACGAATTATGAGCGGTAATTAATAAAATTATTCAAAAAATGCATAAAGTGAAGTTGTCGATAGGCAACCAATAGTACATGTGTTATATTGGTTGCTTATCTTTAAGAGTTTTTTACAATTAAATATCACAGTTTGAATCAAAAAATTAAATTTGTTACAACTATAAAATGTGTCAAGAGTTTCAAATAAATAAGTGTTAATTAATGATTTTTTTAAAAYTTGTATCAAGTGGAAGTCGTTTTTAGGCAGCCAATAATGCAGCAGCAGTTTTACTGGTTGCCTATTGAAATTGTCAATTGTCYACACAATTAAATTTGTTAAAAATTATGAAATGTGCAAAGAAATAATTCACAAAAAAAAAGGTGTGGTGGATCACAAATTGATTTTTAAAGGTAAAAGTCAAGAGAAAAGGTTGGCTCATCTTATACAATTATGAAACAGAAAAGTAGTTAATAATTTTTAAAATTTTATCGTGTAAACCACTAAATATTTTCAATTCAGTTCTGTACATATAAAAAAAAAAAAAATTTTCCTTGACCAGTTTCGAACCCGGGACTCGCGGTTGGAAGGCAACAAGCATCAAACACAGAGCCGTTACCAACTTCGAATATGTGTATGTCGTATATCTGTTTCTTAACATAATTAGTATAATAAAATTTCCAACAAAAACTTCAACATAAATATTTAGTATATAGTCGTGGGTAAAGTATAGTACACTACTCGCGTATAATGGTTATTATTAATAACCATCATTATACGCTCTCTGTGTAAATTTGTAAAAATTGTGTTGTGTAAATKTGACTTTAAACATCCAGTTGTGTTTTTAGAGAGACATATATATCAAAAATGACAATTCTAAAAAAGTGGGGTTAAAATACATTATAAATAAAGTCTACTGCGCCTGTCACAATTTGGTGAATTCTGCTGCCAARATAGACATAACCCACACACTAGAGATGGCGGGCTAGCGACTGCCAACTTAAATGGCCACTATGGGTGTTTTTTGCAGTGCCACACTAACGGAAGCAAAAACACCAAGTTTGACACTAGATTTAATACGGGATATTTTTGTGTGATTTCAAAATCCTTGTAAATTGGTGAAATTTTGCAAAATTGTGGAGATAATACGCATACGGTACACGTATTACTGTGTTTGAAGTAGAGATTGAAAGGGATCATTTCGGGGTGGCAACCATACAAAAATTCAAACAATTCTAACCTCAATCTTTCTTAAAAATATTTTTTGTATCCCAGGTAGCAAAAAATAAGTAAAATTAACAACGTAATTAATTAATTGTCGATGAAATTTATTTTTGTGTGAATTGGCCTACTTGATGCAGAGTAAGTGGCAGGTTTTGTTTTTTTTTGCAGTGCCACACTAATGGAACCAAAAACACCAAGTTTGACACTAAATTTCTTATTTTAAAATAAATAGTTGTGATTTATGCGATTTTGAGTCCTTGTATGGCCTTTTCGAGCGAATTGAGGTCCCAAATGACAAGCTGTCCATCCAATCCCGATGTACTTATTTTCGTGACGTTGCCTTTGGTGCCCCCATAAATGCACACACAAGTGATGGCATTTTGGTGTATTGAATCAAGATTAGTATCAGAAGTCTCACTCCTGGCTTGTTTATCCAAAGAATGAAACATTCTCATAGCAGTGAGCCCCCCAGCTTCCTTCTTTTGCGACGTGTCCAACTTTGCTGTGAAATTGAGTCCATTATCGTGCAAAGTGTACAAAACCGGTATACAACTATGTCCAGCAGCCACAATGGACTTATTAGTGATCCAAGTGCAGCTCAAAAAGGGCAAAAACTCGGTTCGTAATTTAAAAATCGTGTTTGTTCGCGTGGCATCGGCTACATTGATAGTCGAATCGTGAGCCACCCAACACACTTTATTACCATCGGGGGAAAAACTCACACTTTGGACCCATCCCCCTCCAGCATTGGAGTTGGCAAATTCGGCCAAAAGATGCCCCAGGGGCATTTTGGAGCCCCATGGTGTGGCTTCGGGCGTCTTCTCGATGTCTTTAATATACGCTGAGAAGATTCGGACTTTGAAATCGGTGGAGCCCGCCACCAGGAGCACGTTATTGGGGTGCCAATCAAGCGTGGTCACTGTGGACCTAATTGGCTTTTTGATGTGTTTCGACACCCACCAATCGTTCTCCGACTCGAAATAGCACACCGAGATGAGTCTCGCCCCCGAGCCCACGGCGAATTTGTTCTCATCGGGGGACCATTTCACGCAGGTCGCAGCCCGATTGATGCGCAACAGCACCAAAGTCGGCTTCCATTTCCTGTCTTTGTCGAGGGTCCACACGTAGGCGTTGCGGTCGGCGGCGCATGTCACGATGCGGTTGGTGTTGGGGCCCCAATCGATGCCCATGACGCGCAAATCGTGCTGGTTTAACACATCGAGGGGCTTCCAATCGGAGCCGCTGCGCTGGTAGATGTGCACTTCGGGGTTGTTGGGCGAAATGGCGATTTCTACAAGGGGGAATGATGGGATTTGAGGCTACCTTTGGGGCTACTCACGAGTCTTGTCTTTGTTCCAAGCGTGGCATGTTATGGGGCTCACCACTGTTCCGAATCGGTGCTGTTCGGTCATTTTTAAGCTCGATTCGCGGACTCTGGGCAGTCTACGCGAATTTTAAGACTATTCAAGGGATTTTTGAGAAGAGGAAAGCCCCCAGGATGAGTAACCGGGTGCGGTTAGGTTTGACGTTTGTGACATTGAAGTGTTGCCAACCGCTTTTGCTCGGCCGAGAAAGACCCCAAATATTTATTGGGCACATGATAAAACATAAAACCCTTGAAAATCATCACAGTTTGCGCTTAATTGTAACAACTTTTGTAGTTAAAAATAATCTTATATACTCGTTTTCATATTAATGTGCATCGAAGTAGTCGTTGAAACGGGGTCATTTTAAGGTGGCAACCATGCGAGAATTCAATTCAAATAAATTTGTAAATAATTACAATTAACAACGTAATTAACATAGGATAGCAAACATAAGGATTTTTGTTATTATTGATGTGTTTAAATTTGTTCTGAATGACATTAATGACACTTTTTGGGTAAATCGGCCTTTGAATTAAAGAGTCTACTACATCCTACTTGATGCACATTAATATGAAAAAGAGTATATGTACAATCTTATTGGAAAAAAATCTTTGAAGTGTTGCCAATTCCACTTACCCGGTTTTTTTACTTGCATTTTGACAAATTATTTCTTTTTTAAGTAGCTTGAAGTGTTGCCAACTGTTTTTGCTCGGGTTTTTTTTTATTGAATTTTGACAGTTTTACCGTAGAATCTTACAAATTTTGCTGTTTTCTCAAAAGTAAACCGAGAAAGACCTAAAATCCTTCAAAAAGCACAAATTTCTAGTTCCCAAATATGATAAAACATAAAACCCTTTACTCGTTTTCATATAAATGTGCAATGACGTAGTCGTTGAAACGGGGTCATTTTAAGGTGGCAACCATGCGAAAATTCAAATAATCCTAATCTCAATCTTCCCTAAAAATTATTTTTTCAAATAAATTTGTAAATAATTACAATTAACATAGGATAGCAAACATAAGGATTTACTTCTGACACTTTTTGTGTAAATCGGTCTTTGAATTAAAGAGTCATTTACAGATTTGTCAACAAGAAATTACCACCTAAGATTTGAACTTTTAGGAAAATTACGTTTTTCATGTTGTTTGTAACTAGAATTTTCAGAAGTAGTTTTGTATGCCTAAGGTTGGTTGTTGTCAGTTGACGTTTTCTGTCAACCTGCTGTCAACTATCAATTAAATTATGCATACAAGCTGATAGGTGACTTAACCTAAATTTTGACACTAGTTACGATATCTTTTGTTTGTCACCAGAAACCAACCTAAGCAAATTTATGGCAACCTATTCACAAATATCCCTAAATCCTAGGGTGTAATTTCTTCTTGATACGACAATAGATTTCTACAAACCTACTTAATGCACATTAATATGAAAAAGAGTATACAATCTTATTAGAAAAAAATCTTTGAAGTGTTGCCAATTCCACTTACTCGGTTTTTTACTTGCATTTTGCAAGTTTTACTGACAAATTATTTTTTTTTTAGTAGCATTCGATGAAATGACCTTGAAGTGTTGCCAACCGTACTTGCTTGGTGTTTTTACTACTATTGTGTTTTTTTTTTTTTATATAATAAAGCATGAATTACAAAGTTTATATTGTTTTCCATTCCCACAAATCTATGTACAGTTGCGGAATTAAAATTTCGGGCAGCATTTTTCTGTCACTCTAAAAAGATCACTGTAAACTACCTTTTACTCTCATCATGACTGACATTTGACAATTAAACTAACTGTTTTTGTTGGTGAAATTGTTAATTAAATGTCTTAGAAAACTTATTAATTGAACTAAATGTATAAATCACAAATCACTATTTTTTAAGAAAATGATATAAACATAACAAGAGTATAAAATGAGGTTATTAATGTAAAGGCTGTTTTAGAGTTTACATTATTACTGCCCGAAATTTTTTTAATTTCGCAACTGTACTTCAGCTGTTTTAAAATTTAATACAATAAATTTATGTTAATAAAAGATAAGGCCAAAAATTTGCAATTTTTAAACAAGTATGAATTTTCAATGGTAGTTCAAATAGACCGGCTTTGGGTCCAAATATTGAAAAACTTGATTTAATAATTCACACTGCTTTTAAGAACAAAACGTGCGTTAAACAATTATTTTCTTGCATTGTTTTGTACAATTTGTATATTTTTAATTGTAAAAATTGTATTGAAGTAGCTAAAGTGCGCGGTAGCTCATTTCGCATCTACATGTTAGGTTATGTGTACCCCAACAAGCCCCAAATAACATAATTTTGAACTAGTTGTAACCATGTCTGATTCAGAAGAGGAAAACTACTGCTTTTTTGGGAAGCCTCTCGCGCCCTACGATGAAGGTAAGCCCCTTTTCCCCTCAAAAACCTCACCAAAATTGTGCCCCTTTCCAGACTCCTTCCCCAAGAAAAAGCCGATTTCGGTGGAAGACCAGATCGCTACCGACGCTCAAGGGCGTCGCCGCTTCCATGGGGCTTTCACCGGCGGCTTCTCCGCCGGTTTTTACAACACAGTGGGGTCCCTCGAAGGCTGGACCCCCAGCGAGTTCAAGAGCACACGAAAAGACAAGGCGACAGCTCAGCCCCAAAAACCGGAAGATTTCATGGACGCCGAGGATCTGGGCCAGTTTGGGATAGCCCCCCAGACTGTGCGCGCCACTAGTGATTATTCCACTAGTAAAAAGAGGAAAAGACAGGTTTTTAGCGAGGGGCCCATCCCTGGCGAGCCTGTGCTTCACTCGTTGTTGACCAGTGGTAACGAAACAATTGGTTATCTCTTACTGAAGAATATTGGGCTAAAAGGGAAGAATAATGAGAGTGAAGAAAGGGTTTATGGGTGCGAAATGCCCAAAACTTATGAAATATCAAGAGATGATGAATTTTGRCAATATGTAATCCCGGATATTTACAAGGAATTTTTATCAAAACCSAAAGACAATAGTTTTGGGTTGGGGTACATTGGGTTYGATAAAAGTCACGTGAACTTATTTAAAAGTTCCAATTTGGTGATAAGGGAACATAAGAAGAAAATCTCGATAACGGGTCAAGCCTTCGGCGTGGGGGCTTTCGAAGATGAAGATGAAGATATTTACGTGAAAGAGGACATGTCTCGTTACGATTTCGAATTAACAGGGGAAAAAACAACAAAAAATAAAACCCCCAAAGAAAAAACCGTTTTCGATGATTTTGTCCCCAGTAAAGACACTTTACCTCAGCGAGAAATTTTCACACCCCCRACAATCCCTCACAGTTTCACTGGAAAACACAAAGTGAAAAGGTCGCGGTTTGAGCCTCTCCCAGCCCCTGAAACTCCTGAAAGAATGAATCCTGAAATTAGGGCCCGACAATTAGGGGAGGAAGAAGAAAAATCCCCAAATGAGGGAAAGAAAACTGAGGAAAATCCCCGAAAATTGTTGGGGCTTGACTTTGATCGATTCGTTTCAGCATCGAAGCCTGAAGATGCGTCGAATATTCTCGAAACGGTGGAAAAGTCGGATTGCGTGCATGGAACGCAAGAAATGAGAGATGCAGCAAAAATGAAAATGTTTGGGCCTTTGACGAGAATCACCAGCGATTGGCAGCCCTGTAGTCTTTTGTGTAAGAGATTTAACGTCCCTGAGCCCCACTTTGAGTGAGTTTTGATCGTTTAAAATCGTTTTTTACTTTTGAATTTTTTTTTTCAGTGAATTGAATGCGTCAAAAAGTAGAAAACGGACAAAAAATCTCATTTTTGAATACGAGAAATTTGCTGATGTTTCTCTAGATCTAAAGCCAGGATTGTCGTTGAAAGAGCCTGAAACTGAAACTGTCACAGAGGAGAAAATTGTAATAATTGAGGAAAAAAATGAAGTGGAAGAAAAAACAACTGCTAAAGACATAACCGAGAAGATTGACGTAGATAAAAACATGGATTTGTTCAAAGCCGTTTTTTTGAGTAGTAGCGAATCAGAGGATGAGGAGGAAAAACAAGATAAAACAACGGAAATGAAAACAACTGTTTTATCTGATTCATTTCTACCGAAAATTAAACCAATCAAATCGGGGATTTTATCAGATGTGGATTTTTCACGTTTTGATGAATCAAAATCAACGGAAATTGAAGAAACAACTTCGAGTCAGGTTCAAGACCCACTTTCTTACGGTCCAATGTTGCCACAAAAATTAGTTAAAAGTGTCCCAAGTACGGGAGAAAAGCCCATTTGCGATCATTCAGACGAGGAATGGGTGGAAAAGCCGAAAAAAGAGAAGAAACACAAGGAAAAGAAGAAAAATAAAGATAAGAAAAGTTCACATAAAAAGAAACATAAGCATAGTAAAGACAAATGACTTATTTCTTTGCACATTTCATAATTTTTAACAAATTTAATTGTGTTGATTGAACCTGTGATATTTAATTATAGTGTGATAATAAACAACATTTCAGTTTAATTGACAATTACAATAGGCAACCAATAAAACAGGCTGCATTATTGGCCGTCTAAAAATTTGCTTCCACTTGTTACAATTAAAAAAAAAATTATTAATTAACACTTATTTATTTGAAACTTTTTACACATTTTAACAAATTTAARTTTTTGATTCAAGCTGTAGTATTTAATTGTAAAAAACTTTTAAAGATAGGCAACCGATATAACACACTGTACTATTGGTTGCCTATCGACAACTTCCACTTTATACATTTTTTGAATAATTTTATTAATTACGTCTCAAAATTAGTAAAAATTATTCTGTTTCATAATTGCATAAGTATGAGCCAAGCTTTTGTCCTATTTTCACTTTTAATTTGAAATTTAATAAGACACTCTAATGACAGACTGGTGCACAAATGTGTAATTTTACAAATTAACACAGGAAGAGGCGGATGTGGGGGTTGAAACCCTAAACAAACCTTACAGTAAACGCAGCCCCCGTTTTGGGGTCTCTGAAATAAAACAATTTTTTCTTTGAAAAATTTATTAAACGTTCTCATTTCCCGGCATCTTCTTTCAGGCCAACAGTTTGGTTGAAAATTAGCTAAAAAACAACAATTAATCCCAAAAAACCACTTTTGGTAACCACCTTTTCCGTCGTCGTATCAGGATCAACCGAGAAAAATCCATTTCGTTCAAACTGAAACTTGGCATAAATTTTCGCATTTTTGAGACTCCTATCGGCAAAACTGCGCAAAATAGTTAAAGTGTTGTCATTACAATCGGTAACAAAACCACCGGGAACTTCATTCGGATCCTCAGGGTTTTTATGTTTAAATCTGAAATTCCCCAAATAATTCCTATTGTCACTATTTCAAAAAAATCACCAACAGTGTTGAATAAAGCCTAACTTCCACTTCAATCGGTTCACAAACCCAATGAATAAAAGCTTTCGGTTTGATATTAACTTTCTCGACCTCGATGCAGTTACAAACCACCCCAAGTACTTCCCCCGAAGCATTTTTCCTCACTTCGTTCACTTGTAGRACAAACCCGGKGTGTCGTAACCCAACAATTTGACTTTTAGTCAACCTRCGGTAGCTTTTATTCCCCTCCTCGAGGAAATCACTTCGTTCGATGTAAATTTTCGGTCCAAATGTCACACTATGTTCGCRCAATTCCGGTTTATTGGGGAAATTCGGAACGGTGATTAATCGGGGCTTCCCTGGGAAATTCTCAATGACAATTTCAAGTGGATCCAAGACGACCATGCGTCTCGGTGCCGTATTATTGAGAAAATCGCGTACGTAGGCCTCCAACATGGCCGGATCGACAGTACTTTGAGCCCCCGTGACCCCCAATTGAGCACAAAAGTTGTTGATGGCTTCGGGGGGGAATCCCCGTCTTCGGAGAGCCGTCAATGTGAACAAACGCGGGTCATCCCAGTCTGGAAATTAGTTTTATTATTTTCCCCCAAGAAGTGTTACCAACCGTTCACGATGCCTTCTTCGATAAGTTTGGCGATTTTACGTTTTGAAACTACAGTGTAATTGATGTTTAAACGGCCATATTCCCACTGAACTGGGCAATAAATATTTAAAGCGTTACACAACCAATAATAACTCGACCTCCTGTAATTGTAATTTTACGTCACAAGTCAGTGTTACCAACCAACCACTAACCTCGATTGAAATTCCTTGGTGCAAAGAGAATGCGTTATATTTTCAATACTATCGCACAAACAGTGTGTATAATCATAAGTGGGGTAAATACACCATTTAGTCCCCGTTCTGTGATGGGGTGTGAATCGTATCCTGTACGCCACTGGATCTAGTTTACCTTCTTCTAGGGTTATTTTCATTCGTAGGGTGGCAGCACCTTCATCAATTTTCCCATTTTTCATATCCWGAAACAACTGTAGACTTTCCTCAACCGGTCTGTCCCTCCATCTAGAAGGCTGGGGGTTAAACCCTTTCATTTCATCAGCCGATTGGTGACACACATAAGCCATCCCTTTTTTAATCAATTCAACGGCCCATTCGTACAATTGGTCGAAATAATCGGACGAATGTGTGATTTTGTACGGTTTGTAGCCTACAAGAGTCACATATTGGATTTTTTCCAGGAGTTTTAAGTCTTGTGCACAGTGTTGCCAAGTCTGGGGAAATTTCACCAGATTTGGTGATTTTCATGCATTTAGTGATTTTTTGTAATAAAATGTAAAAAGACTGTTGTAACTCCACAAAAATGTAAGTACCAAAGCCTAGTTTTGTGTTTTAATAGCTTGAAAATGGTCCCAAAGTAAAATTTGAGTGATTTGTGACACTAATTTAGGGGTTAATTTTGGTCGGTAATACAGATACCTGTTCCCAACTTTTGTAAAAAATTTGATTTGTGTATTTGTGGGCAAAATTTGCGCAAATGTAAGTACAATTAATAGTTTTCTAACATAAAACCGTGAAAATCATCCCATCTGGTGAGAAATTTCAACAGATCTGGTGATTTTCATGCATTTGGTGATTTTTTGTAATAAAATGTAAAAAAACTGTTGTAACTCTACGAAAATGTAAGTACAAATGCCTAGTTTTGTGTTTTAATAGCTTGAAAACGGTCCCAAAGTAAAATTTGAGTGATTTGTGACACTAATTTAGGGATTAATTTCGGTCGGTAATACAGATACCTGTTCCCAACTTTTGTAAAAAATTTGATTTGTGTATTTGGGGGCAAAATTTAAGCAAATGTAAGTACAATTAATAGTTTTCTAACATAAAACCGTGAAAATCATCCCATCTGGTGAGAAATTTCACCGGATCTGGTGATTTTTATGCATTTAGTGATTTTTTGTAATAAAATGTAAAAAAACTGTTGTAACTCCACGAAAATGTAAGTACCAAAGCCTAGTTTTGTGTTTTAATAGCTTGAAAATGGCCCCAAAGTAAAATTTGAGTGATTTGGGACACTAATTTAGGGGTTAATTTTGGTCGGTAATACAGATACCTGTTCCCAACTTTTGTAAAAAATTTGATTTGTGTATTTGTGGGCAAAATTTACGCAAATGTAAGTACAATTAATAGTTTTCTAACATAAAACCGTGAAAATCATCCCATCTGGTGAGAAATTTCACCGGATCTGGTGATTTTTATGCATTTAGTGATTTTTTGTAATAAAATGTAAAAAAACTGTTGTAACTCCACGAAAATGTAAGTACCAAAGCCTAGTTTTGTGTTTTAATAGCTTGAAAARGGRCCCAAAGTAAAATTTGAGTGATTTGMGACACTAATTTAGGGYTTAATTTRGGTCGGTAATACAGATACCTGTTCCCAACTTTTGTAAAAAATTTGATTTGTGTATTTGMGGGCAAAATTTACGCAAATGTAAGTACAATTAATAGTTTTCTAACATAAAACCGTGAAAATCATCCCATCTGGTGAGAAATTTCACCGGATCTGGTGATTTTCATGCATTTGGTGATTTATTGCAATAAAATGTAAAAAAACTGTTGTAACTCTACGAAAATGTAAGTACAATTTGCTAGTTTTGTGTTTTGATAGCTTGAAAACGTTCCCAAAGTAAAGTTTTAGTGATTTGTGACATTTAGGGGTTAATTTCGGTCGGTAATGCAGATACCTGTTCCCAACTTTAGTAAAAAATTTGATTTGTGTATTTAGGGGCAAAACCTTGAAAATCACCCCATCTGGTGTTTTTTTTTGAGTTGGCACCACTGCGTGTAACTTACCCAACCACGTGACCATGTCTTTAATCCCTGTAAAAAACTTCTCTTCCTCTTTTTCAGGATTAGTATCGTCATATCTCAGGTAACAGACCCCATCATGGGCTGCGGCGTACCCAAAATTGATGTTAATCGCCTTGGCGTGTCCAATATGGAGGATCCCATTGGGTTCAGGGGGGAACCGAGTCTGGACGCGCCCCCTTGTGGCTTTCAGATGCTCTTTCAGTAATTTCTCCGTGTTTTCAGTAATGACATAACCGTCAGTTTTGTAGTTTTCGCCCGGTTTGTAAAAATTGATTTTTTTCATGACATCTAAAATTGTTAATCCCGTGTCTTGGGGGGCTTTTTCATCAAGCTTTGGTCTCGTCGGTGTTTTCTTCTTGTCGGTTTTGGGGGCTGGCGCTAGATCTTCTTCGGTTTTGGGGCCCAATAAATCAAAAATCTGGAGGTCGATTTCGTTTTTGATGGCTTTGCCATCAGCCCATGGGAGCTTCGCCCTGARTTTCTGCATCAGSGGGCCCGCATTGAACCGGTAGCGCTTCTCAAGCAGCTCGGTTTTGTGCCCCGAGATGAGCCCCTCAACCACTGACTCGATTTCCTCGGGGGTGACCACCACACCGACCCCACAATACGACTCAAACTCCCGCAAATCGATGTCTTTGAGGTGGCTTAAAGCATACTCGATGGCTTTCTCCACCCGGATTGTATTATCTAGTTTTTTTGTAACAATGTATTTGGTGATGAGGGGTAAATGGTGGCTGATTTGGGGCTTGATTTTCGTGGCCAAGTGGTAGAGGAGAGTGCCGGCACCCTCAGGGAGCACCACTTCGCGCACCTGGAAAACAATTTGCAAATATAAGGGGGTCCAAGTGCACACTTACCTCGTGCAGAATTGTGGTTAGGGTTTGAGTGAGGGGGACATTTTTCAACGTTTCTTTCGCCTTTTGGTCACTCAAACCGAAAGTGGTAATTAGGCGGGGCACCAAGTCCTCGTTTTGGACCATATTGAGCGAAAATGAGGACGATTCGTGTCTCCAAATAACCACACTTTTGAGTGTGACATAACCTCAAACCTTAAATTTGACTATTGACATAACCTCACTTTTTCATTTTTCTTTGATTATTTTATAATAAAAAAATAGAGTTGATTTAGTTTCATTCGTGGTTGATACAGACGGGTTGGGGACCCCACAAACAGGCCAGGTTCTAGTTTTAAGCTTGTTTTTCTTGACAATTGACATAACCTCAATTTTTTTCATTTTGGTTTATTTTGTAATAAAAAATGGACTCTGAGTTACTTTCGTTTGTGAGTGATTTAGGGGAGTTGAGCGGTTGCACAAACGGGCTAAATGCGAGTATTGACAAGACCTTCAAGTCTTGTTTCAAGACTCTTGATAGTAAGCTTGCAGTTGAGTCAGTTTTGGACCAATTGCACGATGAATTGAACACAGGTCATTGGAGTGAAACCCCCTTGACGATTCGCAGGGCCTTTAGTGCTGCTAGTTTTGTTAAAACAATCATTTTGCTTAAAAATAGTGAAATTACCGATGATTTATTGAGACAGTGTTTGAAAACTGTGGATTTGGGGCTCCTATTGGGCGCCCCGTTGCAAATCAATTGTGATTTATTGACAAAATGTGCAACTTTTCTCTCCAAGAAGTTGGTTAATGAGAAAAAGTCAATTAAAATTGAAAAACGCAAACATGAAGAGTTTTATTTCAAGGATTTAGACCAAATCAAAGGTGTAAACATTGAAACAGTAGTTTGTCCCTCACTGGAGACCTTCAATAAGATGTATTTCGCCCCCCGAAAACCGGTCAAATTGCAAGGTATGAAACCCAGGAAAATTAACTTATTTTCGTTAAATTAATAGATTGTGTGTCCCATTGGCCCGCCCTGTCCAAATGGGGCGACATCACCTACTTGATATCAACAGCAGGGGACCGCACTGTCCCCATCGAGATCGGGTCCCACTACGCCGACGAAAATTGGGGCCAAAAACTCATGACTTTGGGCGAATTCATCACCAATTATTTCCACCAATCGGAGGATTTGGGTTATTTAGCCCAACACAATTTATTCAACCAGGTTGTCTCATGGTCCCACTTTACCACAATAAACAAATAGATTCCAGAATTACGAAACGACATTTACATCCCGGAATATTGCTGTTTGGGGGATGAAGACACCGAACCGGAAATAAACGCCTGGTTGGGGCCCCCAAAAACCGTCTCGCCACTCCACCACGACCCCAAAAACAACTTCCTCGTCCAAGTGTTTGGTACCAAACAACTGGTTTTGTATTCACCCCAAGACACGCCTTGTTTGTACCCCCACGAAAGTACTTTACTGTCCAATACGGCCCAAGTGGACCCTTTCAATCCCGATTTGGACAAATACCCCAATTTTCGCAACGCCAAAGCTGTGAAATGTGTTTTGGAAGCAGGAGAAATGTTGTATATCCCACCGAAATGGTGGCATCACGTCACTGCATTAGAGGAAAGCTTCTCTGTTAGTTTCTGGTGGGATTAATAAAATTTGCAATGAAAAATGATCACTTTATTCTCTAAAAATTATATACATTATATACATGACACTTTTCTTAAATACTTGTGGCTCCTCATATCACAGAAACACCACCAAAGAAGGAGAAATACAACTTAATCACCTCTTTCAGAAAATCAACCACAGACAAGAAACTTTAGAAGACTTTTTGGACCACCTTGTTGTGTATGAATTGGAAAACATAAAGACATTAGTGGCACAAATTCTGTGGTTGCTAAATTGAAGATCAATCACCCTTTTAACCACCGAAACAACAAATTCATATATTTTGAAGAGACGCCATACTAGTTTTACAATCGATTTGACTCTTGCTAAGATCCGTGAACGTCAAATTGAACGGTTCAAGAAATTTTAAAGTTTCCTCCAGCGCTGGGAATGCCAATTCTTGCTGGATAAAGTTCACTGATATGTTTTGACGATAGCTAAACAAAAAAATACTGTTAAGATATGAACAAATGAATGATGGAATAACTGGACAAAAAAACATTCATTAATGGTTTTTTCTCCAGTTTGGTGGCAGTTTACTTCGTTCTCACCTAAAATAATTTGCAAGTGACGTAATTTTAAACACTGTGCTTTCACACACATTTAAAGCAACTCAATCAAGCCTTTGAAAGAACGAAACACACAAAGCGCAAAATACCCCTTTCTAATTACTAAATTACGCAATTTTTTCCACGTTGCTGCAGTGACAGCATCTGCAAAGGGAGTTTCAACATTTGAGATAAACTATTTTTTATTGAAATAAATTTTTCACCCGCCACTGGAATTAATGTCACAATGACACTGTTTCCATAGTAACAAATGTGTTTCTATGGTAACCAGGTTCCTAGTCGACTCGTCAAGATAAAAAAAGGGGCAAAATTGATATTTTAGTTTGTCTCAAAAATGATTGAAACGCTTTGCGAAACACTGTGTGATAGTCACTCTCATACCTACCTTTTTATAATACACTTTAAATATAGTTTGCGCTCGCGTTCAATAAACCAATCGACCAAGAACCCCGCCATTAAAGGCGCCCGATGATACAGCTGAAAGAACCTGTGAAAGTTTCCTAAAGACCAAGCTGAACGTATTTTTAATGCAAAATCGATGCAATCATCACTTTTTTCTTTCTTGGAAAGACTCTTCATAATCGTCATAATATCTATAATCAATGTAATTATTAAAAAATAAACGAAATTGTGGTGTTTTACCCAAAGTATTCTTTGTAAAAATATAATACAGTATCCTATAGGCTGTGAATTCGTTTTTATTTCCACCACCAACTTCCGAATATAACATTTTTAATTGTGTTTGACATTGATTAAACTCTTCGTGATCGCCTTTTTCTAAAGCGATCCGTGCGTGAGTTTCGTAAACTTCAACTGTGAATTCGTTTCGTACTCCTTGTACCTACAACCAATTATATGATTTTTACACAATTTTTTTTCTACAACTCACTGTTAAATCTTGTCTGATTGATTTAAGTTGATCACAAGTGTAATAATAATCCGGTTTTTGTTTCCATCTCGTCTTGACATTCTGCAATGACAATTTGAGTACTTCAACTGGACGTACTTCACATGCTTCGGGGGCTTTAGTCAGTCGAAGGAAGGACTTTTCCAAGTCCTGACAAGTGCCCACTATGTGAAATCCTGTCCAGTCAAAGTCTGCGATATTGTCCTCATACTTATCATTCAGGTAAATATTTTTATTATTTATTAATCCATTTGTTTCTTTCTGTTTCATATTATTGAAACGTGCTGCTCTTTGTTGTAACAATTCGGAATTCTCTTCAACTTCTGAACCGAATGATGATAGCAAATGTGCTTTTTTCTCTTTCATTTTCTGTTTTTTTAGTTGCTTATTTGTGAATTTGTTGTTCTTTGTTGGGCCCAATCTATTTGCCAGTTTACTCTTTATCTTGTTCTTGTTGGTGGGCTTCACCAATGGTTTGAAGTTCTCCTCGCTACTCACGCTCGAACTGCTGCTGCAAAAAAAAACATTCAAATTTACAAATTTTAAAAACTATTGGGCTTGATTTGTCAAAAAAAATGCAAAATATGAGTGCAAACACGTAAGAAATTTAAAAGAAATTATTTTTGATAGGTGTGATCCCAAAAAAATTCTAATTCTACCAAAATTCTAGTAATTACAATAATTCATCGTGATTGTATTGTTTTTAGTAATCCCTATAATTCCAATTAAAAAAAATATTTTCGATATTTCCAAATAGTATTTAATAAAGAATCTCAGTAATTTCAGAAAAATTCCAGTAATTTTATTGTTTTAAGATTAATTACTATAATTCCACATTAATTCTTGTAACTTAATTTTTAAAATTTCAAAATAATTTATATTACAATTTAATTTTTATAATTTCGAAAAAAGTTTTGTATTTCACATTACTTCACATTCCACGTAAGTTTGAAAAGAAATATTTTTATTTTATAATTGCAAAAAGCATTTCAGTAATTCCAAAAAAAATCTTCCAAAATTTTAGTAATAATGTACAATAATTATTCATCGTAATTGTATTGTTTGCAGATTAATTCCTATAATTCCGAATTATTCCTGTAATTCCAATTAAAAAAAAAATATTTCCGATAATTCCAAATAGAATTCTAGTAAAGAATTTCAGTAATTTCAGAAACATTCCAGTAATTTCAGAAAAATTCCAGTAATTTTATTATTTTCAGATTAATTACTACAATTCTAAATTAATTCTTGTAATTCCAATTTTTTTTCTGCTCAATTTTCGTAATTTTACTTAATTTTCAAAATTCCAAAATAATTCCTGTAATTCCAATTTAATTCCACGTTAGTTCTAAAAAATTCAACGTAAGTCTGAAAAGAAATATTTTTTTTTATAATTGCAAAAAGCATTTCAGTAATTCCAAAAAAAAATCTTACAAAATTTTAGTAATAATGTACAATAATTATTCATCGTAATTGTATTGTTTGCAGATTAATTCCTATAATTCCGAATTAATTCCAGTAATTCCAATTAAAAAAAATATATATTTCCGAGACTTCCAAATAGAATTTTAGTAAAAAATTTCAGAAACATTCCAGTATTTTGCAAATAATTCCAATAATATTATTGTTTTCAAATTAATTAATATAACTCCAAATTAATTCCTGTAATTCCACATTACTTCCGATACTTCTAAAAAATTCAACGTAAAATTGAAAAGAATTTATTTTTATAATTGCAAAGCATTTTAGTAATTCCAAAAAAATCTTCCAAAATCTTAGTAATTATGTACAATAATTCATCGTAATTTAATTGTTTTCAGATTAATTCCTACAATTCCGAATTAATTCCTGTGATTCCAATTAAAAAAATATATATATTTCCGATAATTCCAAATAGAATCCTAGTAAAGAATTTCAGTAATTTTCAAATTAATTACTATAATTCCAAATTAATTCCTGTAATTCCAGCTTTTGCTCAATTTTCGTAATTTTAACAAAATTTTAAAAATTCCAAAATAATTCCTGTATTTCACATTACTGCCGATAGTTATAAAGAATTCAACGTAAGTTTGAAAAGAAATTCTTCCAAAATTTTAGTAATTATGTACAATAATTATTCTTCGTAATTGTATTGTTTGCAGATTTATTTCTATAATTCCGAATTAATTCCTGTAATTCCAATTAAAAAAAAAATCCGATAATTCCAAATAGAATTCTAGTAAATTTCAATAATTTCAGAAACATTCCAGTAATTTCAGAAAAATTGCAGTAATTTTACTGTTTTCAGAATAATTACTATAATTTCAAATTAATTCCTGTAATCACAACTTTTTTTCTGCTAAATTTTCGTAATTTTAACTTAATTTTCAAAATTCCAAAATAACTCCTGTAATTCCAACTTTTTTTCCGCTCAATTTTCGTAATTTTAACTTGATTTTCAAAATTTCAAATAAATTCCAATTTAATTTTTTTAATTCCTGTGATTCCACATTACTTCCAATAGTTCTAAATAATTCAACGTAAGTTTGAAAAGAAATTATTTTTTATAATTGCACAAAGCAATTCAGTAATTCCAAAAAAATTCTTCCAAAATTTTAGTAATTATGTACAATAATTCATCGTAATTGAACTGTTTTCAGATTAATTCTTATAATTTCAAATTATTTCATGTAATTCCAAATTAATTCCAGTTTAATTTCCGTAATTCCGATAGTTCTAAGAAATTGTACACAATTTTGAAAAAAAATTATCTCCGATAATAGTAATTCTGAAAGGAGTTTCAGTAATCAGAAAAATTCCAGTAATTCACATAGTTCTAGTAATTTTCAGATTAATTCTTATAATTCCAACTTAATTTCACTTTAATTCCAAATTAATTTCGATAGTTCTAAGAAACTCATTATGATTAGATTTTGATTGATTTTTGGCACCTATTCAACGGTTAATTTTACGTTTAAATAGTAACTTTAGGCCGGTAATACAGATCACTTTTCCCAAATTTTCTATAAAATTTGCACAAATATACGTCCAAATTACTAGTTTTGTGTTTGAATCGTTTAAAAATAGTCTCACAATAAAATTTAAATGAGTGTGCTTAATTAAGGTCGGTAATACAGATCCCTTTCCGAAAAATTTGTGTTTACCTTGAAGACCGATGCCTGCGTGGACTCCTGGACCTCGACCTGGACTTCTTCCTCGCCGGTGACCTGGACCTAGACCTAGAAGACGACCTGCTGGTGCCTCGTAGCGTGGACGCTCTGGCCCCCAAGCGCGCCCCCATCGCCGGTGATAACCCCTTTTTGGTGTTATTCTGGAACTGTGCTAATTGTCCTGGTACCGTTTTAGGTACCAAAGTGGGTCTTTCGCTGTGTATGTTGGGTAATGGTTCATTACTCCAATCTTTCGTATGTAATTGCCCCATTTGATAAGCATGCGTGATCTTCCCCTTGAGTATAATCTCGACTTGGTTCTTATCAATGTTCGTCTTACACTTGGCATAGCACCGATTCACGTAATCCTTGAGACTTGGGGGCCACTCATCCGTGGGATTATTCGAAACGGGGGCCTTTTCCGCTGGGGGCGGCGGCGGCGGTTTGCTCGTATCCGGGAGCGGCGGCAGAGGCGGCTGTTCCGGTGGTACCGTTTCCGGGGGCGGCGCCGGCTTGGGTTCGGGTGGAGGAAGTGGGGGGAGCAAAAATTGGTTCTGTAAATTGTTCATTTGGTTGTTGCGGTTACGTTTGCGTTTCTTTTTCGCTGCGCCACTCGTTAGGGAATTGTTCTGTTGGAGGTTGCCGTTTTGGCGTTTAGTCCCGCTCAGATTGAACCTAATGGGGGCGGTGGTGGTGAACTGTTTGGGGGTATTCAATAGGGGTGGTTTTGAGATGTGTGGGGTTGGGAGTGATGTTGTTGGAGTGCCTGGAGGGAGAGGAGGCACGAATTTCGTGTCCGTTGTTGGTTTATTTTCGAGCATTTGTTGTTGCACTTGGTGGTAAATTGCCGATTGGTAGGCGGGGTAACTGTTCATTAGGTAAAACTGATGGTAGTAATTGCTCATGTCGTAATTGTACATGGGGTAAGCCCATTGGACTTGGGGGGCGGTTTGAGCTGCGTCAGGGGGCGCTGCTCCCGCAGGAGCAGACGACACGGCAGGTTTCTCCTCCATCCTGAAATCTACAAAGCAAATTTTCAACAAAGGACAATCTAAGTTTTCAAATTTCGAAAATAACAAGTAAAATTGTCGTAAAAAATCGTTAAAAAGATTTTTTTTTCTGAGGCTGTAGGGCAGCCATCTTGTTGAACTCGACTCACCAATAAATTAAAGGGGACCTGGCGGAGCCTTTCTTTGAAGGGAAATTAATCTGTAAATAAATTATGGGAAAAGTACAAATATTCTACACCTAGTTTTGAATACAAATCAAGTGGAAATGAATGCACAAAAAACCATCTTGTTGAAATCACGATCACTCTTGTATGAAAAATGACAGATGACAGTTGTGACCAGTGTTGCCAGACTAAATTAATAAATTAAATTCACCAGATCTGAGTTGAAATATTTATTTTCAGGAGATTTTGAAAGTTTCCGGCTCAAAAATGTGCTCAAATGCTCGAAAAAGGCAAAAATAACACTATTTTTGGTTTAATTCTGTATTTTTTTCGCTTGTTTTACGAAATATTTATGTTAGCCTGAAATACTACTTGAAAAAAGCTAAAATTATGTAATTTTCTGCGTTTTTTAGCAAAACTGATTTTAGTTCGAAAACGTGACTTATTAATTAACTCTGAAATTAGTTACACATTTTTAGAATTTAATCAAAATTATTTGGAAGTTTGTATTTGGAATTATTAAAATTATCTTTGAAATTACTGGAGTTATTTGTGAATTACTGGGATTTTTCTAGAGTTTCTGGAATTTTCGGAGATAATTTCTTTTGAAAATTACGTTGAACTTCTTAGAACTATCGGAATTAATTTGAATTTACGAGAATTATTTTTGAATTATAAAGATTAGGTTGGAATTACAGGAATTACGATAAATTACTTGAATTTCGGTGGATTTTTTTGGAATTAGAATTAGTTGTACACATTTTTTCCAAGTTAACAGCCTCTGGGATTTATTTTTGTAATTTTTAGGCATATTTTGTCAAGATCTTGCAAAATAAATGTGTCTGGTTCAAAAACGAACTAAATCGAGCGAAACAAGCTAAAATAATAGCAGTTTTTTTCAGTCTAATTTGGTACATTTTTAGCATGTTTTATCAAAATTTTTTGAAAAAAACTTTGAATTTATTTTAAAAACATGCTTAAACATTCTAATTTGGTAGATTTTTTAATTTTCGGTTTATTTTTAACGAAATTTCGCAAAATAGCTCTGAAAAAAACAAAATCATGTATTTTTAATTTTTTAACCGTGCAAATATGCTCAAAAACGTGACTAAACGCTCAAAAAATGCAAAAACAACACTATTTTTCGTTTAATTCTGTTATTTTTTAGCTCGTTTTTAACAAAATTTCGCAACAACTGAGGTTTTAGTTAAATAACACCAATTTAGATTTACTCCAGAGAGGTTTAATTTCGCAAAATAGCTCCGAAAAAAAACCACAATAATGTATTTTTCGGCCCAATTTAGTGATTTTTTGAACCTGTAAAACCATTTTCTTAATTAATTTAGTGATTTTTTAACTTATTTTTAAATAAGTTTAGCAAAATAATTGAGTTTTTGGCCCACAATTCTCAAAAAATGCAAAAAACTGTGTGATCATTTTTGACCTAATTTACTATATCATTATTCAAAAACAAACTAAATCGATAAAACAAACGAAATAACATCCATTTGAATTTCATTTTGTAATTGTTAGGCTTGTTTTGACAAGATTTTGCAAATAAAAAGTCCCTGGTTCAAAAACGAACTAAATGGAGCAAAACAAGCTAAAATAATACCAATTTCAATTTAATTCGTTAAATTTTCAGCCAGTTTTAGCAAAATTTTTCAAAAAAAACTTTGTATTTATTTCAAACACGTGCTTAAACACTCAAGAAATGCAAAAAATAACATAATTTTATGCCTAATTTGGTAAATTTTAGGTTTGTTGTTAACTAAATTGCGTTCTCAAAAAAAGCATTTTTATAATTAGTTTAATGATTTTTAGATTTGCTTTTCAAAAAGTTCGGCACAATAATTGAGTTTGTGGCGCTAAAAAGTGAATTTTATTACCGTTAAAAAAAAAATGGTAAAATTTCACCAGACCTGGCAACACTGCTTGTGATGTTAGTGAAACTAGAGGGGATAAAAACAGGACTGGCGTATAATTGGTTGCATAACACATTATTTCAGGTTTCAGTTTTTTATTCTTTCATACAATAAACCAAGGAAGTCTTCGTTTTATTGTTAAACACTTATTTACAATAAAAGTAATCCAATCAAATTTTCTTAGAAAATTTCAATGCGTGTAATTGGTATACTTTATTCCTTAAACTAATGAAAATAATACAAGTTTGTGTTTCAATCCCATTGTACGCAAATAACGTAATTACCACCAGTTGGTCAAGTTTTTGTGGTAATAAAGTCCATAAATAAAATATTTCCTCTGCAAAACAAGAATAAAATCGATTTTAAATAAATAAGAAGACTTTCAATTTGGCTGACAAAATTAAAAAATACTGTTGTTGTTATTATTTAAACCGAAAGTGAGACAAAGCTGTTATACTGTGTGATATTCCTCTTCAAAATATCCGCACACAAGCCGAGAACTCGCTCAAACCTGAAAAAAAAACCCAATTATTGTTGTACCACGTCACGTGATAAATTACCTTGCTCTGTCTAGTTTGACACACTTTAAAGGTCCACAAGCCACCACAGTGGCGGCTCGTGGCCTATCCAACAACAATGCAATTTCCCCAAAATAATCGCTTGGTCCCAACCTCCCCACCTCAGTCGGCTCCTCCCCTTCGACTCGATTCTGTTTCACAATCGCTGTCCCCTCAACAATGATATAAAAGTCGTCCCCTGGCTCCCCCTGTCTCACAATCGTCTCCCCATCCTCAAAACTCACCGGTTCTAGGGCATCCGCCACCGTGAGACGCTCCCACTTGTCTAAATTCTCCAAAATCGACACTCTTGATAGAAACTCCTCGTACATTTTCCTCTTACGTATCGTCGAACCCATCAGAATCCTCCTGTAGGAGTCTCTGTCGATGCCCCAAAGTTTGACATCGGTTTTCGCTTTGACTGTCGCCGCCCGAGGTGTCCCATAGATAAGGGCCAGTTCGCCGAAGCTTCCGCCCTCCCCTATGGTGGTAACTAGTTCGTTATTGACATATACCTCGACTTCGCCTTGGTCGATGACGTAGAAATTGTCCCCTTCGTCGCCTTGCTGGATGATGGCTTCCCCCGGGAGACATGTCACTGGGAACATGGCGTCGAAAATGTCCGAACGTTCGTTTTCGTCCAAATGGGAGAAAAGGACGTTTTTTGCGATGGCTTTCGATAAGGCTGCCATTGTTTTGTAGTCTTTGGGGACGACTTTTTTCACATAACTGGTGGCGTCTTCTTCGCTTACCGGCTCGGCGGAGATGCCCCCACGACGACGGACCGATTGTTGGGTGTGAGTGGGCAAGGGGGACAAGTCTTCGGTGTCTTCCGGGGAAGTCACTTGCTGTTTGGCATCTAGGGCTTGCTCCTGCAACAAGATAGATTTAGGGAGTTTTGGTGATTTTCATGATAATCTGGTGATTTTTTAGAAATACAAGGTGATTCACGATAAGCTTGACCAAATTCTCGATGCAACCACCATTACTCTTCGTAAGTTATTTTGCGAGAACTGTAATGTTGGTTGCATCGAAATTTTGGTCAGGCTTTGTTTTTTAATGTCAAGTAATAAGATTCAATTTTTTAATTACTGATATACAGATTTGTTAACAAGAAATTGCTAGGGATTTGAATTTTTAGGAAAATTACATTTTTCATGTTTGTCACTAGAATTTTCAGAAGTAATTTTGAATGCCTAGAGTTGGTGACCTCTTGTTGTTGACGGTTTCTGTCAACTATGACAAGTGACTTAACCTTAATTTTTGACACTAGTGACGATATCTTTTGTTTGTCACCACAAACCAACCTAAACAAATTTATGGCTACGAATATCCCTAAATCCTAGGTAGAAATTTCTTGTTGATACTTTTTGCATTTTCTGAACATTTTGCACGTATTTTAGCCACAAACTCAATTATTGTGCCAAACTTTCTGAAAAGCAAATCTAAAAAAACACTAAATTAGTTAAAAAAACTCGTTTTTTTTTAAAGAGATTTTACCCAACAAAGTCAAAAAATCACTAAATTGTGCGGAAAAGCACACTATTTTGGCCTTTTTGGGAGCGTTTTAATAGGTTTTTTAGCGAGAAACGCAAAATTTAGTTAACAACAAACCGAAAATTTACCAAATTAGGTCTAAAATCGTGTTATTTTTTGCATTTCTTGAGTGTTTAAGCACGTGTTTGAAATAAATACAAAGTGTTTTTTGAAAAATTTTGCTAAAACTGGCTGAAAAGTTAACGAATTAAATTGAAATTGGTATTATTTTAGCTTGTTTTGCTCCATTTAGTTCGTTTTTGAACCAGGGACTTTTTATTTGCAAAATCTTGTCAAAACAAGGCTAACAGTTACAAAAAGAAATTCAAATGGATGTTATGTCGTTTGTTTTATTCGATTTAGATTGTTTTGAGTAATGGTATAGTAAATTAAGTCAAAAATGATGACACTATTTTTGCATTTTTTGAGAATTGTGAGCCAAAAACTCAATTATTTTGCTAAACTTATTCAAAAATAAGTTAAAAAATCACTCAATTAATTAAGGAAAACATTATTTTGTTTTTTTTTCGGAGCTATTTTGCGAAATTAAAGCTCTCTGGAATAAATCTAAATTGGTGTTATTTTGTTTGTTTCATTCATTTGATTTACCTCGTTTTTGAGTAAAATTTTTGCAAAAATAAGCCAAAAAGCAAATAATTTGGTCAAAAGTGGTATTACTTTGTTTTTACAAGTCACGTTTTTGAACTAAAACGTCAGTTGTTGCGAAAATTCGTTAAAAACAAGCCAAAAAATTACTGAATTAAACCAAAAATAGTGTTGTTTTTGAATTTTTCGAGCATTTGAGCATGTTTTTGAGCTTATTTTTGCACGGTTAAAAAAATAAAATTACATGATTTCGTTTTTTTCAGAGCTATTTTGCGAAATTTCGTTAAAAGTAAACCGAAAATTTAAAAATTTAAGTTTTTAAAGTAAATTCAAAGTTTTTTTCGGAAAATTTTGATAAAACAGGCTAACAATTTACTAAATTAGACTAAAAAAACCTGATATTATTTTAGCTTGTTTCGCTCGATTTAGTTCGTTTTTGAACCAGAGACACATTTATTTTGCAAGATCTTGTCAAAATATGCCTAAAAATTACAAAAATAAATCCCAGAAGCTGTTACCTTGAAAAAAATGTGTACAAACTAATTACAATTCCAAAAAAAATCCACCAAAATTCAAGTAATTTATCGTAATTCCTGTAATTCCAACCTAACCTTCATAATTCAAAAATAATTCCTATAATTTCAAATTAATTCCGACAGTTCTAAGAAGTTCAACGTAATTTTCAAAAGAAATTATCTCCGATAATTCCAGAAACTCTAGAAAAATTCCAGTAATTTCAAAGATAATTTTAATAATTCCAAATACAAACTTCCAAATAATTTCAAACAATTTGATTAAATTCTAAAAATGTGTACAACTAATTCCAGAGTTAATAGCCTTTCGAATAAAACTAAATTGATGTTATTTTATTTCATTCATTCCATTTAGCTCGTTTCTGAGTAAAATTAAAAAAAAGAGCCAAAAAACAAAATTTGATCTACTTTTTAAGATACGTTTTTGAACTAAAATCTCAGTTTTGCTAAAACAACTAAAAAAACTCAAAATTACATAATTTTAGCTTTTTTCAAGTGATTCATTATGTTTTTCAGGTAAACAGCATTTGAGCATGTTTTTGAGCATATTTGTGCGATTTATGTAAACGTAAACTTTCAACAGTATTAGAAAAATTTCAATCAAAATTTCGTAAAAATTTTACAACTCATATTTAGTGAATTTTTTTTTTGCCTTGGCAACACTGATTAGCATTAATGTATTATGCAAACAAGGGATTAATGTACACAAACATTGCAGAGTTAATAATTAATAAATCCAGGATGGGGTTGGGTTGAAAGCCTGAATACTTGATAAGTAATTATGAGGGTGGAAATGAAGGCCAAATTTTAATGTTTTTAATGTAATTTAATGTAATTACTGATTAATTTTAGTAAATTTGTTAAAACTCGAAAAAAAAAAGATTTTCGACTTGATTCACATTTATTTACACCGATTTTTCGCGGAAAGTTTTTCATAATAAATTTCAACGCATCTGTTTGTTGTTTTAATTTGAACGTGGGCACTATTTGTGTAATAATAATCCAAAGATTTACTGTTTTATTTAATTTGAATTAAGTGTTGTTTGATTATAAACTCTGTATCAAACACTGTGTTTATTTTATTTAAGAAGTTTGAAACTGAGCAAAATTAGTGTTAAATTTTTTCCAACTCATCCAATTGACATTTTTCGTTTCAATAAATCACGCCAGAAATAATTTACAGCGAATCATTCTGATTGTTTAAGTGTTTCGTATTTATCAAGCAATAAAATTAAACATCAATTGACACTATAGCAAGTTGTTTTTTTTTCTATTTTTTAGTCGAATGAAAAATGAAATAAAAAAAATAAAATAATTGTATTGTTCCTCCTACACGTTTTCCTAGACGTAGGCGCGTTCTCAATACTTTAATGAGTAGTTCAAGAAATTTATTACAACAATTGAAAGGGTCAAGGTTTTGGTAAAGAGAAAAACCAACACCTATTATTAAAACAAATAAGCGAGCCCATTAGGGGTTTTAAACGTTCTACAAGTCTTAAAATAACAAATTCAGCAGAGCGCAAATTAATCAATAGAAATAACCGCAAAAGCTGCAGCGACTATTATGTGTTGTTATTAAAAACTTTGGCGCATTTCATTTTTCAAAGTGATTACAATTTATGTGTGGGAAATTGAACCCTTTGTCATGGGTTGAGGCATTGAATCGGAAATTTTTATTATTAATAATGTTTAATATCGTGCTGAAAACTGAAATGCTTACGACCTTTTAAATCCTAGGTAGCGTGTTTGTCGCAAATATTCCTTATCTGTTTATATCTTGCCCTTTTTTTTTTACAGTCACGATTCTAAACTTGCCCCATTAACAACACTTTGTTTAAATTAGAAAAAAATTCGTAACATCTCGACTTGTCCTTGACTTGCTTATAAATAAATTTGTAATTAAAACAAAAATTTCTTTTTGAGTATCATTATGAAACGCAACATTTCATTTTCTAATATTGGTACCACAAAAATAAGAAATCAAAAAAGATAACCTCATAATGGAAATTATTTTTATTTTTGTAGGATTAAATTTTTTACTTGAACCCCGAGTTAGTGTGAACATTAAATGTTGCCAGCCCAAAAAAATTAAATTCACCAGATTCAGATATTTTCACCAGATTACAAGATTATGATTTAAATTTTTTGAATACTTTGGACAATTAACGTTCTTACTTAAATAACACTATTGTTAACGAAATTTTGCGAAATAAATATTTATGTTTATCTGAAAAACATTCTAAATCACTTGAAATAGGTTAAAATGATGTAATTTTGTGTTTTTTTTTTTTGGTTTATATTACCAAAACTGAGATTTTAGTTCAAAAACGTGACTTATTAAAATGTAAAGAACCACCATTTTTGACCAAATTTAGTTTTTTAGCTCATTTTTTAAAATTGTACTCAAAAACGAGCTAAATCGAATGAATGAAATAAAATAACGAATTTAGTTTTATTCGAAAGGCTATTAACTCTGGAATTAGTTGTACACATTTTTAGAATCTAATCAAATTATTTGGAACTTTGTATTTGGAATTATTAAAATTATCTTTGAAATTACTGGAATTTTTCTAGAGTTTCTGAAATTATCGGAGATAATTTCTTTTGAAAATTACGTTGAACTTCTTAGAACTATCGGAATTAATTTCAATTTACGGGAATTATTTTTGAATTATAAAGGTTAGGTTGGAATTTACAGGAATTACGATAAATTACTTGAATTTTGGTGGAATTTTTTTGAAATTAGAATTAGTTGTACACACTTTTTCCAAGTTAACAGCTTCTGAGATTTATTTTGGTAATTTTTAGGCATATTCTGACAAGTTCTTGCAAAATAAATGTGTCTCTGGTTCAAAAACGAACTAAATCGAGCGAAATAAGTTAAAATAATATCAGTTTTTTTCAGTCTAATTTGGTAAATTTTTAGCATGTTTTATCAAAATTTTTCGGAAAAAACTTTGAATTTATTCTAAAAACGTGCTTAAACATTGTAATTTGGTAAATTTTCGGTTTATTTTTAACGAAATTTCGCAAATTAGCTCTGAAAAAAACGAAATCAAGTAATTTTAATTTTTTAATCGTGCAAATATGCTCATAAACGTGCTCAAACGCTCGAAAAATGCAAAAACAACACTATTTTGGTTTAATTCTGTAATTTTTTTTGGCTTGTTTTTAACGAAATTTCGCAACAACTGAGGTTTTAGTTAAAAAACCTGACTTAAAAAGTAAAGTGACACCATTTTTGACCAAATTATTTGCTTTTGGTTTATTTTTTGCTCAAAAACGAGCTAAATCGAATGAATGAAACAAACAAAATAATACCAATTTAGATTTATTCCAGAGGTTTTATTTCGCAAAATAACTCCGAAAAAAAAAACAAATAATGTACTTTTCGACCCAATTTAGTGATTTTTTGACCCTGTAAAACCATTTTCTTAATTAATTTAGTGATTTTTTAACTTATTTTTGAATAAGTTTAGCAAAATAATCGAGTTTTTGGCCCACAATGCTCAAAAAATGCAAAAATAGTGTCATCATTTTTGACCTAATTTACTATGCATTACTCAAAAACAAGCTAAATCGAATAAAACAAACGACTAACATCCATTTGAATTTCTTTTTGTAATTGTTAGACTTGTTTTGACAAGATTTTGCAAATAAAAAGTCCCTGGTTCAAAAAACGAACTAAATGGAGCAAAACAAGCTAAAATTATACCAATTTCAATTTAATTTGTAATTTTTTAGCCAGTTTTAGCAACATTTTTCAAAAAAAAAACTGTATTTATTTCAAACACGTGCTTAAACACTCTAGAAATGCAAAAAATAACACAATTTTTGGCCTAATTTGGTAAATTTTCAGTGTGTTGTTAACTAAATTTTGCATTTCTGACTATTAAAACGCCCCAAAAAAAACTCTGTTAAGTGAAAGCTCTCAAAAAAAGTATTTTCTTAACTAATTTAGTGATTTTTAGATTTGTTTTTCAGTTTAGTAAAATAATTGAAAAACGTGCACAGTGCTCAAAAAATGCACAAATTGTATCATCATTTTTTATTGCAACCAAAATGTTACCACAGTTTTTAAACTAGCATAAAATTCACAATATTTGGTGAAATTTCCCACCAACAAACACAAAAAAGCCAAACTGAATCAAAATCCAAGAAAAGACGAGAATCACAATTTCCGGTAAACAAACAGAAATATTTCAAATATTGTGCGACACGACTTGGTGTATTTTTAGTTTCTAATTTTGAAATTTCGATGATTAAGAGCGCTCAAAAACAGAAATCATAGTCGCATTTATTTGCACTCGAATAAAAAAAAAACGGTTTTTCTGTCATCTGTTAATTTAAAATCCCTGCCTCGTCTATTTTTAAAACGCCCAAAAATTTCAAACAGGTGTTGAGATGATGGATAATTCGCTCAAATTACATAATTTTCTTTTATTTATCAGCAGGAAACGTGAAACCAAAGCGATAAAAATAAACAAACAAGCAATAATATCACAATTTGAATCAAGTGCACGCCTCATCATCGTACCTGGGGCATTATGACGTCCAAGAAACCTTACACAAATATAAGATTAAGGTCGCACACACTCCACTTCTGGTGATTTTATTATTATTATAGTAGAGGAAAGCGCAACTATAGCGACCACACCACGACTACTAGAGCACGCTACTGAACAAAATCGCTGCTTGCATTCCTGGAGCTTGTCAAGAGAATAATTAACCATGAAAAAATCATTACTGCCAACATTCATTCATTCATTTAATCACGAAGAAAGTTAATTAAAAATTTCAAGTTGCAAACATTACAAAAAACAACCAAAACTTGTATACTTTTTTATTAAACTAGCAACATGATCTAAAAAAAAATATCACACAAATCACGTGATGATAGTGACTTAAAAATAATCTTTTTGACTTTTGAACTTTTGAACGAGAAAAAGTGCACGTAAAAATACTCGTTTATTATTTACCACCTACTTGCAATTTTCTAAGCATTATACTTGTCTCAAACTCAACGAAATGTAATCGAATCTTATCACAAACGTAAGAAAAATTTCCTATTAATCTACAATAATGTAATAGGGTGTTTATTTGGGGCCAACGCGACCTGCGAACTTTGCCTCTTAGATAAACCACTTGGCGGATTCTGTAGGAGGGCACTGTGCTCACCACGTGTTGATTTTATATTGCGTCAAAGCCCCAGAAATGGTTGATTAATTTAGAAAAAAACCCGGAACTTTTAAAAATAATAATGAATCAACAAGATTAGTCATATTTTATCCGCAAATGTCACAAAAGTGACCACTTTTATGACACAAAGTGTCACAGCCATGAAGTAAAAATTCTATTTTTGCGACTAAGCGTTTTTACTTTTACCATGACATTATTGACATTTGCCAATGTAGTCTCATTTTAACTCTTAATAACATAATGTACTATTTTTGTAAAAAAAAGTGAACGTTTGCGCCACCACTGTCAAAAAAGCTCCCTAATGACAAATACAACATTACTAGTTATTAATTATAGTGAAATTATAATGATAATAAACGACTCATTTTTAAATTTTAAAGCAATTTCATGTAGTTTTATAAAATTTGGAAAAATTTTAAATCACTATTAATATAAATTTTCAGAAAAAAAAGAGAAATTTTAAATTTTAAATCAGTCCAAAATAATGCTCTTCTGTAAAATGATAACAATTAATTAAATAACAAATTTAATATAAATTGTCATTTTTGACATTATTGACAGTTGACGTACCACCAAATTTTAAAATAACATTTGTGACCGCTTTTATTATAGTGTTAATTATTAATAATTATTAGTTATTGACATTGTGTGAAATAATAATAATGATATAACCAAACAAATGCGATTTTCGTTTAATTTAAAAAAAGCACAAATTTGACATTACTAGTTGTCATATCTGACATTATTGACAGTCACATTTAAAAAACTTGACGTCCCGCCAAATTTAAAAATGACATTTGTAACCGTTTTATTGTAATTGTTAATTGTCTTTAACTGAACACTGTTCAAAACCAAAAAAAAAAGATTCTTGTACGATTTTTTCTTCAAAAAAAGAACAAATTGAAATTGTGTCATTGACACTATTGACAAGTGACCACACTTTTTATAACTTGACATACCGCCAAATTAAAAAATGACATTTGTGATCGCTTTTATTGTGATTATTAATGAATTGTCATTCATTGCAAAAAAACACAAATTTGACATTAGTGTCATTTAAGACACAATTTACAGTTGAACGCACGCGAAATTTTAAAAAGGACATTTATGGCAGCTTTTATTGTCATTAATTAAAGTTCTTTAAAATAATAATGATAAAACCAGAAAAATTCGATATTACAAGCTGTCATTTTCACCACTAATGACTGTTAACCAACCCGCCAGCTGTCAAATCAACTACGTAATTGAATTCAAAACAATTGACATTTGACATTTTTCTTGTCATCGCCAAATGGAAGCTACTAAAACCTTGTCATTTTTGACACTATTGACAGTTGAACGCACTTTTCAAACATGACGATCGGCGAAATTTAAAAAAGGGCATTTGTGGCGGCTTTTATTGTCATTAATTAAAAATTATTTAAAATATTAATAAGAAAACCCGAAAAATTCGATATTACAAGCTGTCATTTTTACCATTGACCGCCATCGGTCAATTCAAGAAACTTAATTCAAAACAATTGACATTTGACATTTCGCTTGTCGTCGCCAACTGCAAGCTACTAAAACTTTTTCATTTTTGACACTATTGACAGTTCTGAACGCAAATATGACGACCCGCGAATTCAAAAAAGAGCATTTGTGACTATTTGTTAATTAATTCTCATTAATTAAAACTTGTTTGAAAAAAAAAAAAAACAGGAAAAGTCGATATTACAAGTTGTCATTTCTGTCAAATCAAGTGATTCAATGCAAAACAATAGACATTTGACATTTCTCTTGTTGTCGCCAACTGCAAGCTACTAAAACCTTGTCATTTTTGAGAGTTTTGAACGCACTTCTCAAACATGACAACCCGACAAAATAAAAAAAAGGCATTTGTGACCGCTTTTGTGATTATTTGTAAATAATTCTCATTAATTAAAACTTGTTTGAAAAAAAAAAACAGAAAAAGTCGATATTACAAGTAGTAATTTCTGTCAAATCAAGTGATTGAGTGCAAAACAATTGACATTGGACATTTCACTTGTCGCTAACTGCAAGTTACTAATACCTTGTCATTTTTGAGGATATTGACAGTTTTGAATGCACTTGTCAAACATGACAACCCGACAAATTTAAAAAGGGCATTTGTGACCGTTATTTGTTAATTAATTGTCATTAATTAAAAATTATTTGGATAAAAAACCAGAAAAATTCAAAATTACAAATTGTCACATCTGTCAAATCAAGTGATTGAATGCAAAACAATTAACATTTGACATTTCTCTTGTCGTCGCCAACTGCAAGCTACTAAAACCTTGTCATTTTTGAAAATATTGACAGTTTTGAACGCACTTTTCAAACATGACATCCCGACAAATTAAAAAAAGAAAAGGTATTTGTGACCGCTTTTGTGATTATTTGTTAATTAATTGTCATTAATTAAAAATTATTTGGATAAAATCAGAAAAATTCAAAATTACAAATTGTCACATCTGTCAAATCAAGTGATTGAATGCAAAACAATTGACATTTGACATTTCACTTGTCGTCGCCAACTGTAATCTACCAAAACCTTGTCATTTTTCCCACTTCTCCCTCATTTATTGTTTGTTAAATTTTCCCCGCCGATTTAAAATCCCCCACCTCCCTTAATTTAGTGCGCAAACTCGTATGTATCATCAAGTTGTTGGATACGGTGGCGCCCTCATTGCAAGTGTGAAAGTAACATGGCGACACCATCAGCTGCTCTCTTGGATCGTCTTGAAAAACAGGGCATTCCAAAATCGAAAAGAAAACTACAGAAACATCTCAGAAGTGCCGGATTGGCCTACATATCACGTACAGGAAAATTAATACCAGCAAAGAAAGTGGCAGGTGAGTTAAAGTCATTTTATCTATGTTTACATTGTGACATCTGACAGCTTTAAACCAACCACATCATTTAGTGCCCGTATTTTTAATACGTCATTCCGGTTGATTCACACAAATGCCATCATCCATTTTTTTTAACATTTCAACGGAAAATAAATTTCGCATTAATGCCAATTATATTCGATTTCGATGATTTAAAAAATTTGCATTTTCGAAACGGTTTTCTTATTCAAACTTGGGCACCTTTACGACCTTCTGTATCTAGGTCATTCGATTTATTGAAGGAAACATTGGCCTTGTCGTTAAGGCACGTGCCACCATAACAGGTTCGATCAAATCGAATATGTCACTGATATTTAAGGCCATTTTGACTTGTTGCATGACATGTGCGTTTGTTACCTAATATTTCACACACACATCATTAAAAATAGACATTTTTTTTTTCACCTTTCGTAATCTCAAGGTAGGGCTTGTTTTCTTTTACATCACTTGACCTTCGGATTTTGATCCGAATCGGGGGGAATCCTAAACTCACACAAACAAGCAAATCATTCTAAATACGTCACCATTATCCCGTTACGAAATTACACAATTTCGGATTTCGCGCCAAAATTTTTCATAAAAAGACGTTATTTTGCACCTTGAAACGCCTTATCGAGAATTAGAACCGATTTTTACACCAAACTAATTTAAAAACTTCACTGAAAATTAAAAATCAACTTTCGACATTTGTCAAAAATGATATTCAAAGTTTGTCACAGCAAGAGTGATTTGTGCGGAAAATGACTACGTTTACATGGCGTTTTATACCAATTCAGCAAAAAAACATCATTAATTTTGTTTCATTTTTAACATTAATGACAGTTAACCAATCAAGTAATTGTATTCAAAACAATTGACATTTGACATTTTTCTTGTCGTCGCCAAATGCAAGCTACTAAAACCTTGTCATTTTTGACACTATTCACATTTGAACGGCTTTTATTGTCATTAATTAAAAATTGTTTAAAATAATAATGATAAAACCAGAAAAATTCGATATTGCAAGCTATCATTTTTACCATTAATGACAGTTAACCAACCCGCCACCTGTTAAATCAAGTAATTGTATTCAAAACAATTGACATTTCATTTGTCGTCGCCAACTGCAAGCTACTAAAACCTTGTCATATTTTGACACTTTTCAAACATGACGACCCGCGAAATTTAAAAAAAAAAGGCATTTGTGGCGGCTTTTATTGTCATTAATTAAAAACTTTTTGAAATAATAATCATAAAACCAGAAAAATTCGACATTACAAGCTGTCATTTTTACCATTAATGACAGTTAACCAACCCAGTCAAATTTGACATTTCTCTTGTCATCGCCAACTGCAAGCTACTAAAACCTTGTCATTTTTGAGACAGTTTTGAAGGCACGTTTCAAACATGACAACCCGACAAATTTAAAAAAAAAAGGGCATTTGAGACCGTTATTTGTTAATTAATTGTCATTATTAAATTAAAAATGACATTCAAAGTTTGTCACCAATTTTTGCGTTTTTTCTTCCATAAAAAGACGTTATTTTGCACCTTGAAACGCCTTATCGAGAATTAGAACCGATTTTTACACCCAACTAACTTCAAAACTTCACTGAAAATGAAAAATCAACTTTGACATTTGTTAAAAATGACATTTCAAAGTTTGTCACAGCACGAGTGATTTGTGCGGAAAAATGATTACGTTTACACGACGTTTGATACCAATTCTCCAAAAAACACCATTAATTAAAACAAATCATTTGGGGTTGCACAAACGTTAAAATCGATCGAAACAGTACAATTTTACATTTATAAATCGTCAAAAATTAACAATTGTGGTTCAAATAATTTTTTGTGTTAGAATTATCAATAAACGCCGTGTAAACGTAGTCATAAAATAACCGAAATGTCATTTTTGACAGATGTCAATGTTGCACGCTCCAGTGGCGTCACTTCCTCCAGGTGTCTAAAACCGTTGTTGTTTCAGAGGAGCTGTGCCAGTGCCCCCAAAAATGTGATGAACGAGTGCCTATGGAGTCACGCGAGCGTCTCTTTTCGTTTTTCTACGGTCTTGGTGAGGCCGATTTGCAAAATCAATTTCTGCGCCAGAATATGGACCTTCGTGCACGTCTCAATATACCGGAAACGACAGGAAGTGGTCGACCGCCTCGCAGGATAACATGTAAATATCTGGTGCCTCTCCTGCCGAGCTTGGAAACGGTGGAAGTGTGTCAGAAGGCGTTTGTGAGCGCTTTCGTGATAACAACAAAACGAGTACGATTGCAAAGAGAGAAGCTGATTTCGAGTTTGGGTTTAAACAGTTACAGCAGTCATAATAGGAGTACGAAACCAATAACAGAAAATCCGAAGAAATCAGCAACACCACCACCACCGAGTGTGAAATTTCCATCATCGTGCGATTTTGAACCAAAGACACCCGAGATGCCTCCAGTCGATAAGCCGTCAACTAAGAGACTTGTCGATAATCCGCTTATACCATTGGGGCTTTTGTTGCCCGACGGTGTGACTATTGCACCAGTCACGGCAAGTCCGGACCATGATAGAGACATTGCAATTGTTAACAACTTTTTCTCTAATCAATTGTGGAAACCGGAATATATAGGTACTTATTCATGAGGACGACGACGTCCTTGTTTTATGCCCACCGTACTTAGTTTAATTACAAAATGATCAATTTTTACCTATTTGAGAAACCTATACGTATTGTTATTTATATTTATACTACATAGTTTATTATATTGAGAGTAAAAAAAAAAAAACATATATTAATTGTTTTCAATAAAAACTGTTTTTTTATGTTTTATTTTTGTACCTATCACACTTGTGTACATAACTTTATCAAACAATACGAGACCAAAAAGCACCTGTACCTCAAATGAAACTTAACTATATCGTAAATTTTGTAAATGTGTACTTTAGGCATTGAGTTTTTTTCTGTTATTTTATATTTACGAAAAAGATGTTGTAGTCGGCAAGTATTTTATATATTTTATAATTTCGCTGTTAAATAAAAAATTAGAAACCAAATGTAGTATTATTAATGACAACACTGAAAAAAAAAACTCAAATGGAATGTATTCAACCAACAATACATTTTGCGAGAGCTAACCCAATAAATGAGAGTTTCAAATTTGTTTCTTAATCAATTAACGTCCATTGAAGTTTTGAAAGGCCGATAACAAGTTTTTATTTAGTTAGTGACCTATTTCTTTAGCTTTACTGAAATCCAATTTAATTAAAATGTTTTTTTTTTCGAAATACTGACAGTTTTGAACACACTTTTCAAACATGACAACCCGACAAATTTAAAAAAAGGATATTTGTGATCGCTTTTGTTGTCATTAATTAAAAACTGTTTGAAATAATAATAATAAAACCGGAAAAATTCGATATTACAAGCTGTCATTTTTACCATTAATGACAGTTAACCAACCCGCCATCTGTCAAATCAAGTAACTGAATTCAAACAATTGACATTTGACATTTCACTTGTCGTCGCCAACTGCAAGCTACTAAAACTTTTTCATTTTTGACACTATTGACAGTTTTGAACGCAAACATGACGATCCGCGAATTCAAAAAAGAGCATTTGTGACCGCTTTTGTGATTATTTGTTAATTAATTCTCCTTAATTAAAACTTGTTTGAAAAAAAAACAGAAAAAGTCGATATTACAAGTTGTCATTTCTGTTAAATCAAGTAATTGAATGCATTTCTCTTGTCGTTGCCAACTGCACGCTACTAAAACCTTGTCATTTTTGAGAGTTTTGAACGCACTTTTCAAACATGACAACCTGACAAAATAAAAAAAAGGCATTTGTGACCGCTTTTGTAATTATTTGTGAGTTTTTTTCTGTTATTTTATACAGGGTGTGCCAGAACTTGCACCCCAGAGAAAAATTTCAAGTAAGATAAGATACCAGGAACATGGAAAAAATGTTTAAAAAATTCTATCTGTCAAAAAATTTTGACATTTATGTTTTGACATTTGACATTTTTTTTATGTCTATTTAATGATACTGATGATTTTGTATATGTTTTTATACAATTATTTAATAAAGGTACAAAAATTATGACAATAAAAAACACAAATAACATTAAACTGAGTTACAATTTAGGATACAGCTTCCTTCTTTCATCTTCTAATAGTCTGTAGCAAAAAAAATGGAAAATTATTTTTTCAACAGAAATAAATAGTCAAAATGCAAAATTTAAACTCTCATAACTTCGAAAATTTTATAGATAAAGTTTTTTTAACATTTTTTCCGTGTTCCTAGTATCTCACCTTATATGGCATTTTTCTCTGGGGCGCGAGTTCTGGAGCACCCTGTATTTATGAAAAAGTGTTGTAGTGTTGTAGTCGGCAGGTATTTTATATATTTTATAATTTCGCTGTTAAATAAAAAATTAGAAAACAACAATCTAGGATTAATAATGACAACACTGAAAAAAACCTAAACAAATGAAATGTGGGCAACCAACAATACATTTTGCGAGAGCTAACCCAATAAATGAGTTTCAAATTTGTTTCTTAATGAATTAACGTCCATTAAAGTTTTGAAAGGCCGGTAACAAGTTTTTATTTAGTTAGTGACCTATTTCTCTGAAAGCTTTACTGAAATCCAATTTAATTAAAGTGTTTGATTCGTCAAAAAACAAGACGTTAGTTTTTTTTAGTTCAAGCCAAATTAACATCATGTTGGCGTAATTTTATTGCTCCTGGGAGAATGTTACAAACTTTAATTTAATTTTTTCACAAAAGTAGCAGACTGAATGTTGCGCAAATATTTTATCAAACGGGATGGAAGATGAAAAGTAAACATTTGTGAAATTACGAGACGGGTTTCAAAGACTAACGAATCGTTTCACGTATGGCAGGCAAGGTGAAAAAATGTGAGTGCTTGAAAAACAAACAAAAGCTCAAAAATATTGTTTTTTTGTAAGATTAAAGTAACTAGAAGAACAATTAAGCTAATTGACCTTATGACAGACACTTTACTCGACAATAACACTATTTATTACGTATCGATTAGAAGTCTTGTAAAATATGAGCTTGAAAACTAATTACATTTTACCACGAAAATCCAACTCACCTATCTGTTTATTTTTTTGCGAAAACTTGGTTGTTTTCATCATATTAACCCACTTTTTTAATCCGAACAAGATTTATTGTGTTTTTCCCCGAACTTGGGAAAGTCAATAAACGATGACGTCATTTTCGCAAAAGTGGAACGTATTTTCCAGGTTTCTGTTTTATTATTGAATATTTTTTCATAAAAAAGTACAATAATATTAAAAAATGATCTGAATATGAAGCAATAAATTAAGACAATACTAGTTACTATTCGGGTTGGCAACACTGAATTGTGTTATACAGGGTGCTTCAAAACTCTCACTCCAGAGTAACTATCTTTAATTTGTGGCTTTTATTGGCAAAGTTCGAGGGGCCGTTAAGTTGAAAAAATGTGTGTACAACTAAGTACAATTCAAAAAAAAAAACCTCCGAAATTCCATAATTCCAAAATAAATCCATCAAAATTACAGTAATTCCAATAATTCATTGTAATGTCATTTCATCAGTTTAATTCCTATAATTCCAATTTAATTCCAACTTAATTCCGATAGTTCTAAGAAAATCAACGTAATTTTGAAAATATATCTCTGATAACTTCGAAAAGAATTCCAGTAATTCACAGATAATGCGAGTAATTCTAAAAAAAATCCACCAAAATTCCAGTAATCCATTGTAATTCCATTGTTTTCATAATTCCAAGTTAATTCCTGAAATTCCCCAACTTAATTTTTGTAATTACAATATAATTCCTATAACTTCAAATTCCGAAAGTTGTAAATAATTCAACGTTATTTTAAAAAAACATCTCCGATAATTCCAAAAAGAATTCCAGTAATTCAGAAATAATGGCAGTAATTTCAAAAAAAAAAAAAATCACCGAAATTCTTGTAATTTCAATAATTCACTGTAATTACAGTGTTTTCAGATTAATTCCTACAATTCCAATTTAATTCCTATAATTCCAACTTAATTTCCGTAATTCTAACTTCATTTTGGTAATTACAAAATAATTCCTGTATTCCAAATTAATTTCCGTAATTCTAACTTTATTTTGGTAATTACAAAATAATTCTTGTAATTACAAATTATTTGCTATGGTTTTAAAAAATTCAACGAATTATGAAAAAACATCGTAAAAATTCCAGTAATTCTAGAATTTCACAAATAATTTCAGTAATTCCAATAATTCATCGTAATTCTATTAATATATTTTGAGTATAATTTCTAAAATTTCAAATTAATTCAAACGTAATACCGTAACGAAAAAGAACAGACGTTATTATACCAATAACACCGAAATAATTCCAAGCAATTTTGCTTAAATTCTAAAAATTTGTACAACTAATTCGAGAGTTAACGGCCACTCAAAATTTTTTGACAGATAGAATTTTTTTAACAGTTCTCAAACACCCCAGTATAATATTTAAAAAAAAGTTACTAAAAGATAACAATTATACAAGGTGATTATTAAAGTTTGTGACAAAAATTGACAACACTGAATTATTGGTAATTAGTAAAAATGTTTCAGGTGATGGCTAAATCAGTAGTCACGGCAAATAGTTACCAAATAGGGAAATCCCTTGGTTTCAGATTTTTTTTATACAGTGTTCAAATAAAACTTACCCTGTCGATATCTTTGTTTTGAGTAAACAAATTTCAAAATAAAAAATTCAGAATTTGAAAAATTGCACTTTTTTATTTACAGAGTGTTCCAGTTGACACTTTCCCCGCCTTTTTTTACCAACTTTTAATTGCAATTTTGATTACCTACACACAGAAATAGATTAAACACCCTGTAATTGCCCATTTTTTTTCAATAGAATTCCAACTTAATTTCCGTACAAAATAATTCCTGTAATTCCAAATTATTTGCTATAGTTTCAAGAAATTCAACGAATTAT